CCCAATAAATAAACAACTTCATGATCCTGCCTTTGTAGAAATTCTTAAAATGTTTTTTTAAAATCCTGAGTCAGCCTTGTGAATCCATTGGTGTGAAAGTCTTGCATTATTACTAAGAAACTATAGCAAATCCAGAGGTTGATGCAGAGTTTTTTTTCAGTCTGTAGAAATATCTTTGATGGGATAGGAAGAACTATTCCCATTTACAGGATTGTGATAATGTAATGAGCATATCGGATTTAAATTACCGTATTTTTCAGAGTATAAGATGCAGCTTAGTTTTTTTGGGGGGAAATAAGAAAAAAGCTGATTGGCGGGTGGATCGGCCTCCTGGAATACCCCCAATCAGCTGTTCCCAGAGGTGAAGTTTAGCAACAGGTTCCTTGGTTGTGAGCTCTGAGCCTTCCTTTTTTTTTTTTTTTTTTTGCTTTTTTTCCTGCCTCTGAAAGCCTCAGAGTTTCAGAAAAAAGCCTCTGAAGCTCTGTTTGGAGGCTTTTTTTCTGAAGCTCTGTTTGGGGGCTTTGTTTCTGAAGCTTCATTTGTGATGCTTTTTTCAGCCTCAGAAACCTCCCTTTGAGAAGCTGGGCGGGGCTACATTTGGAGTATAAGATGCACCCAGATGTTCACCCTCTTTTTTGGGGGGGGAAAAGTGCATCTTATACTCCAAAAAATACGGTAAAATGGGTGGTCAGATCCTCTTTTGAACCACAAACTTCCTAAATGATTACTAGATTTCAGTAAAGCTACTTTGCAAATGACTAAATGAAGAGACACATACCTTCTCATTTATTACTCTTAAAAAGCCTAGATAAATAAATTTATAGCCTTGTCACCAAGTACTTGGTGGTTTTGAATTCTGCTCATCAGCAACAGTGTTAATTTGTTTTAAACCCTCATGTAAATCACACGTTCAGTTGGATTCATCCTGTTACATCAAAGCTATTCTTACAATCAATTCTTGCTGTTCCCGACCACTAATTGGGAGTTAGTAAGGAGAACAGCTTGTGTTGACATGGAAAATCATTACAGTACAATTTTTAAAAATATCGTCTTTCCAAGCACATGCTTGGAAGGAAGAAGCTTGAATTCATTAGTCATTGGGAAGACATGGCTTTTGAAATACTGGATAGCTGTTCAAATATAGACAATCGAATGTATTTTTCATTCTGAAAAGCATCTTCGTAAATCAAAACAGCATTGTATTGCATTCCTCCCACAACTCCCTTGAACAGTTTGCAGGCAACGATATTAGTGAATAACTGGCCAGTCCTTCATGTTAGCAAAATCACTTAGACTTAAATACCACTTTACAGTGCTTTAGAGTAGAACAGAACAGAACAGAACAGAACAGAATTCTTCATTGGCCAAGTGTGATTGGACACAAAGGAAATTTGTCTTTGGTGCATATGCTCTCAGTGTACATAAAAGAAAAGATACATTCGTCAAGAAACATAAGGTACAACACTTAATGATATTATAGGGTACAAATAAGCAATCAAATCATATTAGAAACAGTCAATATAAAAATCGTAAGGATATCAGCAACAAGGTTACAGTCATACAGTCATAAGTGGGAGGAGATGGGTGATAGGAACGATGAGAAGATTAATAGTAGTGCAGACTTAGTGAATAGTTTGATAGTGTTGAGGGAATTATTTGTTTAGCAGAGTGATGGCATTTGAGAAAAAACTGTCCTTGTGTCTAGTTCTGGTGTGCAGTGCTCTATAGCGTCTTTTTGAGGGTAGAAGTTGAAACAATTTATGTCCAGGATGCGAGGGGTCTGTAAATATTTTCACAGCCCTCTTTTTGACTCGTGCAGTATACAGGTCCTCAAAGGAAGGCAGGTTGATAGCAATGGTTTTTTCTGCAGTTCTAATTATCCTCTGAAGTCTGTGTCAGTTTACAGCCCTCTCTAAGCGGTTTACAGAATCAGCATATTGGCCCCAACAATTTGGGTCCTCATTTTACCCACCTCGGAAGGATGGAAGGCTGAATCAACCTTGAGCCTGGTGAGATTTGAACTGCCAGATTGCAGTCAGCCGGCAGACAGCAGAAGTAGCCTGAAGTACTGCACTCTAATCACTGCACTACCGTGGCTCATGATGGCTCATGATGTTTTAAGGAAAGAGGAAAATCATAAATTCTGACTTTAAAATTGTACATTAGGAATAATTCGGACATCATTTTTACATTTCTTTGTCCAAAGATCCTTGTGTGCTATATGTACTGTACATTAAGTGTTATAGCAACAGCAATAGCACTTTGACTTTGACTTATATACTGCTTCATAGTGCTTTGCAGCCCTCTCTAAGCAGTTTACAGAGTCGATATATTGCTCCCAACAATCTGGGTCCTCCTCATTTTACCAACCTCAGAAGGATGGAAGGCTGAGTCAACCTTCAGCCGGTCAGGATCGAACTGCTGGCAGTCAGCAGAGTCAGCCTGCAGTTCTGCATTCTAACCACTGTGCCACCAGGCCTCTTATCAAGAGTTGTTTTCAAAGAGTGTTAAGTAAATTGATGGACAACAGGTCTGTCCAAATTCTTGGCCTTGAAGACTCAATATCCTGGCCTGGTTGAAGGCGTTTGAAGGCGTTTCCAAATACTAGTTGATACTAGTTACCAGTGGCAAAGATGCGGGACTCCATCTTCTGTTTTCAAGTGCTCAGAATATCTTGTTAGCTATTCTGTGAAGCAAAATTCTAGACGAAGGGGCCTTGGCCTGATCCAGAAAAAACTATTCTTATATTTTATAAACATTTGGCATCGTACTGTACATGAGATATAGAGGAGGCTGTAGCGAGATTACTTAATATTTCAACAAATGTGGGTTTGGCAGCCTTGTAGAATATGCATTAAAAATGTTATTTTGCAAATGAAAGAGGAACCCATTGGTGTATTATTGTTTGCCTGGCAATCATCTCTTCTAGGTAAGATTACAGCTGGATTGAGCTTCTTGTTTTGTAGATTTTTTTTAAAAAGGTGATAGAAATAGTGCAGTCTCCTTACTCAATAAGCCAGAAAGACCCAAATTGGCTAGTGCAGGGGGGGTCTCCAAACTCTGCCACTTTTTAAGACTTGTGGACTTCAACTCCCAGAATTCCCCAGCCAGCTGAAATACGTTCACTACAGCAAACAGATTAAAAACACTCTTCGTTTTGCTTTCCGAATCTTTGGTCTTTGTCGATACATTAGCATTAGCCCGGGGGGGGGTGTCTCCAAAGTGGCTGGGGAATTCTGGTAGTTGATGTCCACAAGTCTTAAAGTTGCCAAGTTTGGAGAGCCCTGGGCTAATGCTGTATCGGCAAGGACCAAAGATTTAGAAAGAAAGCAAATTTAAAGTGTTTTTAATCCATTGCTGCAGTGACCATATTTCAATGGCAACATCACCATTCTTGATTTTTACCTCCGGTTTTACCCTGTTTTCCAATGTAAAGTGGAGGACCAGAATATCTGGTCCAAACATTCAAATTTGAGCTGGAACCCAGAAAAGGAGAAGAATATTCTCAATGATAATGACTGTGTGATAATATAATAATATTGTAAACCGCTCAGAGTTACCTTGCAGTAAGATGGGTAGCCAATGAATTTAATAAATAAAATAAATAAGCATTGGGGAGAACTGCAAATATATATATATATAAACATGATGAAAAAGTACAGGCAACCCGTTTTGCTATTTAAAAGATAAATTTTCGAAGAGTTGTGAAGGAGAACTGCAATTTGAACCTAAAGCACTTGGTTGGCTAGTTTGACAATATTTTCCATATTTTTCATACCTGGAATAATCAATCTCCGGATCAGTAATCTTATGGGAAGTACCTTCTATTTTAAAACTTACGAAGAGCCGATGAAAATTCAGTAGTCTGTTGCTAAGATACAAGCTGCAGTGAGTAAGCCAGCCTAAATTCAGTTTTTCCTAAACAATGTGAGCGCCAATAGTCCTGATCAAAGTAGGAGAAGCTGTCGTTATAAAATCTACCCTGTGAAAATTGGAGAAACCCAACAGATGGACTCAAGAGTTAGTGTTCCTGTGTGTTTCTAAAAGTTGAAGGAGTCTTACTTGATTTGAAGTTTCCAGTTGTAATACACTTCCATTCTGGGGTCTGTTGAGTATTATGCAACCACGACCTAATACTACAGATTTATGACATTTTTATGTTGACAATTTTTGCATTGTTTGGATATAAACTGTTGGAAGACTGTTGTTGTTTTTAGTTGCGAAGTTGTGTCCGATCCATCGCGACCCCATGGACAACATTCCTCCAGGCCTTCCTGTCCCCTACCATCTTCTGGAGTCCATTTAAGCTCACACCGACTGCTTCAGTGACTCCATCCAGCCACCTCGTTCTCTGCCGTCCCCTTCTTCTTTTGCCCTCAATCGTTCCCAGCATTAGGCTCTTCTCCAGGGAGTCCTTCCTTCTCATTAGGTGGCCAAAATATTTGAGTTTCCTCTTCAGGATCTGGCCTTCTAAAGAGCAGTCAGGGTTGATCTCCTCTAGGACTGACCGGTTGGATCGCCTTGCAGTCCAAGGGACTCACAGAAGTCTTCTCCAGCATCAGAGTTCAAAGGCCTCCCTTCTTTGGCGCTCAGCTTTCCTTAAGGTCCAACTTTTACAGTCATACATTGCAACTGGGAAAACCATCGCCTTGACTATATGCACTTTTGTTGGCAGGGTGATGTCTCTGTTTTTTAGTACGTTGTCTAGATTTGCCATAGCTTTCCTCCCCAGGGGCAAGCGTCTTTTAATTTCTTGGCTGCAGTCCCTATGTGCGGTGATCTTGGAGCCCAGGAAAATAAAATCTGTCACTACCTCCATTTCCACTACTTCCATATAGCCTTGACTATACGCACTTTTGTTGGCAGGGTGATGTCTCTGCTTTTTAGTATGTGTTAAACCACTAGAGTTGCATAAAAGATTTTTTTTCCTGCGACAATATAAGGCTGCATTTTGTAAACATTTTCAAGTGTGACTATTTCTCTTAAAACATCTTTGGCAGGCATCAGAAGAGGCCTCGCTCCGAGCCTTGGAGAGCCTGATGACGGAGTTTTTCCACAACTGCACTACGAACGAGAGAAAGCGTGAAATCGGTAAACCGACCTCTTTTCCCATTTTCTCTCAAGTTTTGCCTCAGATTTCAGAATTAAGGCTACTTCGTTTTGTTCTAGTGTCTGCTCTCATAAGCCCCTTTGAGCACAGCAAGTTGAAGTTGCACGCTTCCAAAATATTCCACATTTTTTTCCTCCCTTTTTTAAAGATGTTTTTCTTCTCTCTCTCTCTCTCTCTCTCTCTCTCTCTCTCTCTCTCTCTCTCTCTCTCTCTCTCTCTTAAAAAAAATGCAATAATCTGCCAGATTGTTTGAAAAGACTTTCTGTGCCAGAGAACCTTAATTAGCTACAGGGCAATTATTGGGGGGCAGTCACCAGGTAGAAGGTTGATGAAAGTGGGATATGAATTACCATAGTTTCCGAACTATAAGACATGCATCAAGATTTCGAAAACAAGAAAAAAAAATTTTTCCCTTCCCGGCCCCCAGGAGCATTCTGCAGGCTTCCTAAACCCTCTGAGCATCCTGTTTTTGCGAAAAACGGGCCCTTTTTTGCAAAAATAGGATGCGCAGAGGGTTTGGGAGGCCTGTAGAGAGCTCCCAGGGGCTGGGGAGGGCAAAAACGCGATGTGGGGGGGTTGTGAGGCCAAAAACGGGCCCGTTTTTCACAAAAACAAGGGCATTTTTGCCCTCCCCAGCCCCCAGGAGCTCTCTGCAGGCCTCCCAAACCCTCTCAGGCCCTGTTTTTGTGAAAAACAGGCCCGTTTTTGGCGAAAACTGGACGTGTGGGGTGGGATTTCGGGAGGCCAAAAATGGCTGTATTCGGTGTATAAGAGGCCTCAACATTTCCACCCTCTTTTGGGGAGGGGGGAATGCATCTTATACAGCATATAAGTACAGTACAATACAATGGAATGTTATTCACTCCGTTACTTTTGATGAATAGAGCAGGAGTGGGTTTAGAAGTACATTGAAAACCACCAAACCCTGGGGAACCGACCTTAGATCAACCAAGACTTTTTATCCCAGTGGTTCAAAGGAAAAGCCAGTTTTTAAAGCATTTCAACATCAGCAGGTTAAAAATAAGTTTAAAGTCCTGTGGGTTAGGGTCACATCAGTCATTCTTTTTATAAGCTCAAGTAGTCTTTGGCTGCAGCTTTTAGAATCTCTGATCGATAGTAAGTTGAATGTAAATAATGGTATAAATAGCTCAGGGCCAGGCCTTCTGGCTTTTCTCCTAAAACAAGAGGGATATAGAAATGGCTTTCTCCTGCGCAGTCCCTCTTTTTGTTCTAAATTCTAATGCAGGTTTGGTTTTGATTTTGCATTATTTGCCTATCCAGAGGAGCTTCTGAATAACTTCGCTCAGCAGGTCGGTGCCTGGAGATTCTGCCTCTATTTCCTGTCGAGCACGAGAAATGATTACGTCATGATGTACAGTTTAACAGTATTTGAGGTGAGCTACCAAACTGGGCTAACCATGCTCGTAACATGCTCTTTATAACACCGGGGCCCAACCTTTGTGGCGTGGTGGCCCTGCTGGCAGGATGGGGGGGGCGAGTGGCAGGGGTGGGCTTCAAAAATTTTAGCAAGGGGTTGATGTGGCCATGGTGGGCGTGGCCTAGCCGGCCTCCTGCACCATGGCGCGGGGGCGTTTTTGCCCTCCCCGGGCTCCGGAGGCCCTCTGGAGGCCAGAAACGGGCCTGTTTCCGGCCTTCCCGAACTTCCAGTAGGCCCGTTTCCCCACCCCGAGCCTCCCCACACATCCTGCATTTACCTGCATCGAAAACGGTCTGCGTGGGGACTCCTGAGAGGCGAGGGGCTGGGTGGGCCAGCCAGGAGTGGGATTTGGGGGTTGTCCGAACTGCACAGAATTTTAGCTAGATTAGCTCCCAAACCCCTGCGAACCCCCAGCAGCCCATCCCTGGGAAGTGGGCCACGCGAGTGGCAGGCTGGTCGGCAGGCACAGCTCGACTTGCGCGAGTGGTGGGTCGGCGCACATACGCACAAGTCCTGCCCCGTCGCTCGTGCAAGTTGAGTTGCACACATGCATGTGCTCCAGTCAGCCACTCGTATGGCCCAATTCCGGATAGGCCATTGGTCCAGTAATGGGCTGCGGGATCAGGATTTAACAGACATCTCTTCACCCCATGTGGTCCATTAAATGAATATTTCATTCCTTTGCACTGGTACTGGTACTTTGTTCCAGAATCTGTACTTGGGTTGCAGAAACATGTATTGGAGGGGGAACCAAGAAACGTTGCACCCTAACAAATTATTCAATCTGTTTCACTCAAAAGCAATTCATAAAAAAAGCAAGAGGGTTGAATGTTTTTGTGTGGGTGGTGAAAGCTATAAAACGAAGCATATAAAGTTGTCAATTTTAAAAGAAGTCAAGCTCTTTATGGCAGAGAAAGTATTTTATTTTATTTTTTTATGTATAATTCTGAGTTAGAGTTATTTTTTTTTCAAGCATGAATCAAATGGATCAAAATGAGATTAAATTAGTCTCAATAGTTAACCTATTTCTCTATTCTCCTGCAATCCTAGTATTAGTTACTGGCATGAATTAGTAGAGGTTTAGTTCCTTCTTGTGAACGAGAACTCACCTCTTAATTGTAAATAAATGCTTTCCCACTGAATTCAATTAGCAAATAAACAAAAACAGCTTTCCAAATAGCACCTATTTTAAAAGTTGGTATTTTTAGCAAGCTAACTTCTATATTTAATACCTTGAATATCAGCTGTAGACTTGAGCAAAGAAGGTTATGTGTCAACCTGGTTCATCATCATAATGTCTGTCTGTTTCAGAACCTGATTAACAAGATGTGGCTTGGGGTCCCATCTCAGGATAAAACGGAGGTTCGCAGTTGCCTGCCAAAACTTCTTTTAGCTCACCATAAAACTTTGCCTTACTTCATCCGAAACAAACTTTGTAAGGTCATTGTGGATATTGGCCGGCAAGACTGGCCCATGTTTTATCATGACTTCTTCACAAATATTTTACAGGTAAGGTTAGAAGCTAACTCTGTTGTTCAGAAACAAAAGTCATCTTAAGTGTGGTCCATTCTTATGCTGGTGCCTTCAAGTCAGTCCTGACGCCTGAATTTCAGAAGTGGTTTGCCATTGCCTGCTTCCTAGGGCTGAGAGAGAGAGGCTGGCCTGTGGCTTTGTGTCTAAGGTGGGACTAGAATCCATAGCTTCCTGGTTGCTTGCCTGATATCTTAATCACTGCAATGTAATCCTCGCTTACCAACCATTTGTTCATCGACCGTTCGAAGTTATAACAGCACTGAAAAAAAGAGACTCGTGACTAGTCCTCGAATTTCCACCTCCCAGCACTGCCCATAGTCACGTAACCACGATCTGGACATTTGCAACCGTCTTACCTTACCTGGGGTCACATGATCGCCATTTGCAACCTTCTCTGCTGGCTTCCCATGAGCAGAGTCAATTGGAAGCTGATAGGGAAGATCACAAGTCTTCCACTTTCCCCCATCTGGCAGTAGCTATCCCTGGTGCCGCCATGCTGGCACCATACCTTGCCTGCCAGCCTGTTTATAAGCTGCCTAGAACTCATTTTAAGGGCCCACAGTACTTGCTTAATGGCGCCAATGTGGATTGCTGTTGCTAAGCGATGCAGGTATGTGACGGTGTGCTTTACAACTACACAACTTACTTAGCTACAGAAATTCAAGTCCTAATGAGCATCATTAACTGAGGACGGCCTATACACCAGACTAGTTCTCTATTCTAAATATATTGATTCTGCGGGTAGCTTTCCAAAGAAAGGGATGGATGGATGGACGTGTTATGGTCCGCCAGCAGCCTGCGGAGCTGGCAGCAGAATCGGACAGTGAGGAGGCTGGGGAGGAACATGGGCCAGTCCTGGAGTCAGGGGAAGGCTCGGACGAGGGCTCTGTGTCGGAGGCAGAGATGGGGGGGGCCATCTGGGAATCATGTGCGGACTCCGGAGCCTCCAGAGTTGGACATCAGAGAGGCAAAGGACAGGAGGAGCCTGTTCCTAGTGTGCGCATGCGCAGATCTGCCAGAAGGCAAGAACAGTTAAAACTAAAGGGACAACTCAGGAGTAAGGCTTGGAGATGATTGGCCCCTCCCATAAGATATAAAGGAAGAGCAAAGGCACACGGATCTTTGCAGGAAGCAACGTTGTGGATGATGTCGGTTTGTACTTTGAAGCTCCGTTTTTGACTGTGTTCCCATGTGACCTTGCTAAGATAATTGCCAATTAGGTCTTTGGCAGCGTGTCAAAGAAGATAAAGATGGGTGTTTACCAGCCTTATCTGAAGGACTGTGGCAGACTTCTGTTGGACTATTTATCAGCTCTTGGCAATTCAGCACGTGCTGTGAATGAAAGGAATTCATAGCCATTAAAATCAAAAAAAGGGTTTTTGGGACTAATTGTGTGCTTTTCACTATATCAGGAAGCCTAGGTCAGAACAGGACGGACAGATGGGTGGTGCGTATATGGAGGGATGGACAGATAGACAAATAAGAGAAAGCTGTTCATGCTAAAAACCCATTCTCTTTAATAGTTAATCCAGTCCCCAGTGACAACTCCACTTGGGCTGATCATGCTGAAGACCACATCCGAAGAGCTGGCCTGCCCACGGGAGGACCTCAGCATCGCACGGAAGGAGGAGCTGCGGAAGCTGCTCCTGGAGCAGGTTCAGAATGTCCTTGGACTTCTCACAGGTTAGTGAGACAGGAAAACCCAGGTTGTACTGCAAGCTGACAAGGGAAGCTGGCAATATTCCCTTTTGAATGGCTGCCAAAGCACCTTTAATTTAATTTTATTTATTTATATACGTATTTGTTAAATTCATTTGCATCCTACCTTGCCATGGGTCTACTCTTAAGAGTTGGGGACTCTAAGCCAGGAGTCCCTAACCTCTGGGTCGTGGACCAGCACTGCTCTGCGGCATCCCAGCAACCGGGCCGTGCAAGGCCCCATCGCAGCTTTAAGATGTGGGGAGTTCAACTCCCAGAATTTCCAGGCCAGCCATGAAATATTAAGTGGGAGTTTTTAAATATTGAGACGTTGGAACTAAAGAGGTATACTGAGTAATTTTTATTAAATTGTTATAAAATGGATCTACAGGGGATAATAAGAGGCGAACGAAGAAATAATTTTAATGCTCAAAAACGTGCATCAAACGATAAAGAACAATGAGGAGACAAGGGGATTGTCTAAAGAAATGATCAGAGGTGCAAATATGAGCGTGCACCACCTCTGCGCATGCGCACGGCTTTCTGTGCATGCAAGTAGTCGCGCATTACATCCGGGCGGGTGGGCGGAGCCTCCCACAGTCGCCGCTACCTGTTCACGCGATCCGGAGAGAACCAGCTGAATCCCACCACTGGAAATGAATGTAGAAACTACTCAACAATTGGGGGTGGAATGACAAACATGATATTTGGAATGGAATGGAATGGAATAGAATTCTTTATTGGCCAGGTATGATTGGACACACAAGGAATTTGTCTTTAGTGCATATGCTCTCAGTGTACATAAAAAAAAAGATACATTCCTCAAGAATCATAAAGTACAACACTTAATGATAGTCATAGGGTACAAATAAGCAATCAAATTATACTAGGAAACAATCAATATAAATCGTAAGGATACCAGCAACAAGGTTACAGCCATGCAGTCATAAGTGGGAGGAGATGGGTGATAGGAACGATGGCAAGACTAATAGTAGTAATTGTGCAGACTTAATGAATAGTTTGACAGTGTTGAGGGAATTATTTTTTAGCAGAGTGATGGCGTTCGGGAAAAAATTGTTCTTGTGTCTAGTTGTCTTGGTGTGCAGTGCTCTATAGCGGTAGGAGTTGAAATCAGGAAATAGATGAGAAATTCGAAGAAGAAGTGGAAGGGAAGTATTTCTTTTTTTTTAATGGCATAGTTTCACTATGTCTTTGAAGTCTTAATACTGTAAAATAAGATTTTCCCACACTGTACATTATTTTAAATGCCTCTTGTTATGTTTCCCCATCAATCTCTTCTTCCCCCCCCCCCCCCCCATGAAACAAAAACAGTGTTAGGATCTCAAGAGAGTACAAAGTAGACACATTATTTTTAACAGTCGGCTGACTCAAATCCGAACCCTAAATAACCTCACATTTGTTGCCAAAATAACCCTCTTCATTATCAGTTTTATTTCTGGAAATCCTGCTGTCTCTTAAGACCTCCTACCCGTTTTTTTGTTTTCTGCTAAGAAAGAGATGTTATCAGCGTTCTCTCCTTCGGCATTCTCATGGTTTTTTTTTTTTCAAAAATACAGTCAGGAATCTGGCCCTGATTGACAGGTAAAGAGACCATGACACACAGAGCACGTGGCATCAACGCTTGAGGTTAAACCATGTTCTCAAATTCCCCGAATTCCACTGAAATAACAAACTTGTTAACTGAAGCTCGGCGCTGAATGTGTGAACGAATTTGCAGCTGCTGAGACTTTGCTCTTCTTTTGTGACAGGTATTTTGGAGAGCATTTGGGATAAATACAGTGTTACGGCTGCCACCCCACCACCATCTCCGACGTCCAGAGAAAGTGGTAAAAATCTTTGCTTCTCCTTCTGTTCGTTGTCCATACCAGGTAGTCCTCGACCTTACAACCATTTGCTTAGTGGCCATTCGAAATTACATCCACACTGAAGAAAGGGACTTATGACCGGTCCTCGCGCTTGCAACGGTCACACAGTTAACATTATCACAATTTGGGTGCTTGGCAACTGGCATGTATTTACGAAGTTTGCAGCATCCCGGAATTACGTGATCGCCCCATCGGTGACCTTTCCGGCCAGCTTCCTACAAGCAAAGTCAATGGGGGAAGACGGGTTCGCTTAATGATCGCATGATCCGCTTAACAGCCGGGGCAAAAATGGTGGTAAAATTAGGCACGGCATGCTTAACAACGACCTTGCTTAACAGTGGAAATTCTGGTCCCCCTTGTAGTTGTAAGTCAAGGACTGCCTGTAATTCTTAGTGACACCTACATCATCATTATCATCATCTTCATTTAACAACCCCATAATCCCTTGCGGGGTAGCAGTCTGGGCAACTGAATGGAGCTAGCAGAGTGTTTTAATGGCCGGATGCTCTTCCTGTCACCAATGCGGAGTTTTGTTCAGCAGATATATTCTTGGTGTGCCCAGAGAGAGAAATATCACTCCTCTTAATGACACCCATGTCTTTGGGGGGTGGAGAGTCAGTATCTGGGTCTAGGGAAGGAAGACAAGATGGTTTCTATACAACAAAATTTGAACGTTGTACAGAAATGGCTGTGGTGTAGCTTATTTTGACGATGTTGTTGCTATAGGGATAACAGTGACCGTAGGTTGTGGTGATTTGGTTGTGGTGGATTTGTGATGTATCCCAGGGCTTCTGGCCCTTACGAATTAGTGTTTTTCAACCTTGGCAGCTTTCAGATGTGTTGCTGGCTGGGGAATTCTGGAAGTTGAAGTCCACACATCTTCCAAGTTGCCAAGGTTGAGAAACTCTGCATTAGGGAGCCACATTGCAAGTTTGCTACTTGTCCGAGCAAACTTTCTGATGACTTCCACTGCCTGGTCTCTTTCTCGACAGACAGAGCAGTTCATCAGGCTGAGAAGCCTAAACCAGGGTACAATAATTCACGCTAATTAAAGCCATCCTACGAAATGGCAACGGCTTGCTGTCTCATTAGCACAGATTGCTCCTCACACGGACAGCCAGCGCAGGCTGTCAATTCATTAAAAAAAAGTAGGGCTCCTGCCCGATATTGGCTGCCCAGTTTTAATTAGGGGAGATCAGAAGCTCACTTCAGAAACATGAGATGTGGGGATGATTAAGCTGGTAACCCCGAAGGTCCTCTTCTGAATGACTTATTTCAAGAGCAAGTCAGCAGGATTTTCTGTCTATTCCACTAGGCTGCTGGGGTAAAAAAAAAAAAAAAGGATTCAGGGATACTTCGGCCTATGATTCTAATTAGGGATGTCAAACTCAAGGCCCACGGGGGCCAGATCCGGCCCATGGGGTGCTTAGATCTGGCCCCGGGGGACCACCCTGGAAACAGTGAAGGACCGCCCCGTGGTTCCTCTGCCAGCGAAAACGGAGGTTGGAGGGGCTGCTGGTGGCCCTCCCGACCTACGTTTTCAGTGGCAGAGGGCTGCAGGAGGCCGTCGCAGCCGAAAACGGAGCTTGGGAACCCGTTTTTGCCGGCAAAGTGCTCAGGCCACCACAGCCCCCCCCCCCCCCCCAATCAGAGTTTCTTGCAAAAATCAAATCCAGAAGCACACACAGATAACTGATTCAACAGGATTCATAAACTTCTTTATATACATAATAACAGATGAAAGAAATTTTATAATACCAATAGTTGATTCTTCAACGTGGTAGAAAGTTACAGGCAGAACAGAACAGTTCCGCCTGTAACAGTCCTACAAGGCAGGACAGAACAGTTAGTTTCATTTCAGCAGAGCAGACAAGCTCACACAGACAAGTTCAGTTTAGTTTCATTTTAGATCTGAGCACAGAGCAGGCAAGCAAGTCCAGACTTGTTTAGTTTCTGTTTCAGACCTTCTGCACAGACTCAGTTGCCTAAGCCACGCCCAGACTTCTTCCTTAAGTTTCTATTTCCAAATAAGCCTCATTGGCTGACCTGTTACCATGCCTTCCCATTGGCTGATCTATTCCAGTCCATGAATATTCAAACTCTTATCCCCCCTGCCCGACATGAGTCACGTCGAGCTGGCCACGTCCACTCTGTCCCCCCAAGGTCAATCACAACCCTGATGCGGCCCTCAATGAAATCGAGTTTGACACCCCTGCTCTAGTGGATCCTGCCAGGGGTGGGTTCTACTTACCTTTACTACCGGTTTGTAGTGGAGCCGCGTGCGGGTGCGCTCTTCTGCACAAGTACAGAAGCTTCTGTGCATGCACAGAAGCATTTTGATGACATTGGGGTCAGTGGGCAGAGCCTCCCACCGGTTTTACTACCAGTTCTATAGAACCGGTGCGAACCGGGGGCAACCCACCACTGGATCCTGCCTATTATGACCTCATGTCATGGACGTTTGTTAAGTGAGATTGAGTCACTTAAATCATCTCCATCCCACTGCTCTCCCTGGTACTGTCATTAAGCAGTGCACAAAGTGCCTTGGGTGAAGGAAGCCTAGTGCAGGCACTAGCACACCTGCCCCAAACCTTCCAAGGCTTCTCTCACCCCCAGTGACACCCCCTGTTCGGTTTCCCACCCCTTGGGGACCCCACAGAACCTGGGCCTGTTTCGCCCCTCATTGAATCGCCACAGTCCTTGGTCATAAGTAGCTTTTGGAGGACTGTCATAACTTTAAACAGTCGCTAAGTGACCGTTCATAAGTCGAGGGCTACCTGCATAGTCTGGGAATTGAAGTCCGTACATCTGACAGTTGCCAAGGTTGAGAAACGCCTTGAAGAGACGTGGTGGCGCAGTGGTTAGAATGCAGTAATTGCAGGCTGACTCTGCATACTGCCAGCAGTTCGATTCTCACCGGCTCAAGGTTGACTCAGCCTTCCATCCTTTTGAGGTGGGTAAAATGAGGACCCAGATTGTTGGGGACGAGGCTGACTTTGTAAACCACTTAGAGAGGGTTGTAAAGCACTGTAAAACGATATATAAGTCTAAGTGCTGCTGCTATTGCTGTAGTTGATTGGATGTTGCATTAGGAGCCCTGGTGCCACAGTTGTTAGATTGTGGTATTGCAGGCTGACTCTGCCCGCAGTCTGGAGTTCAATTCTGACTGGCTAAAGATTGACCCATCCTTCCATCCTTCCGAGGTGGGTAAAATGAGGACCCAGATTGTTGGGGGCCATGGGGTAATTCTGTAAACCGCTGTAAAGCACTGTGAAGCTATATGTAAGTCTTCAGTGCTATTGCTATATTGTTGGCAAATCTTAGCATGACCAGACTTAACTTGTACGCGTGTGCTTTTTCCTGTACAGGCGATCTCTTGAGTAGCCTATTGCAGAGTCCCAGTGTGGCCAAATTACTGAACCAGCCAATCCCCGTCCTTGACTCAGAGAGCGAATACGTTTGCTCCCTGGCTTTGGAGTGCCTAGCCCACCTCTTCAGCTGGATCCCTCTGTCGACCAGTATCACCCCATCCCTCCTCACCACCATCTTCCATTTCGCCCGCTTCGGCTGCGACACCCGCGTCAGAAAGATGTCCTCCATCAACGGCAGCAGCCAGAACGCCTCCTTGAGTCACGAGCGTGGCCAGCTGGGCGTGCTGGCCATGTCTTGCATCAACGAACTCATGTCAAAGAACTGTGTGCCTGTGGAATTCGAGGAGTACTTACTCCGGATGTTCCAGCAGACCTTCTACCTCCTCCAGAAGATCACCAAGGAGAACAACGCCCATTCGGTGAAGAGCCGGCTAGAACAGCTGGACGAGAGGTAAGGCTGGGCGAAATCAAGCCAACCGCTCTTCTAGTTTAATTTCAAGATGACTTTTGCCGATGACTTGTTATGCATGGTGTGTCTAATCGCCTTTTTTCAGAGTCCCAGGACGGAGGCGGGGAAAACAGCCAGGTAAGTGTGACCCAGGTACGTGGCCGTGGGGCGGTCAACTTTGGCAGAAACGAGTTTGTGGTGGCGTAGGAGTTGTGTTTCTTCTCCCACCCCCCACCCCCCTTCAAACCTCCCCCATTCGTTACAGTTTGGCTGCAGGTCTGAGGTGGTCCAAGATCTCAATTTGCTTCCATTCGGTTGTTGCTGTAAGCAGCCGAAGAGACGCGGTGAGGTAAAGGGATATTGGTGGTTTTCTGGTTGGCAAGGAAGGGGTGGATGGGCTCGGTTTGGAGGGAAGAGAAGAGGCCTTAGGAAGGTGTTTTTCTCCAAATTGGGTAGTCTCCTGAGGCAGAGGTGGTCTTCAGCAGGTTCTGACCAGTTCTGGAGAACCAGTAGCGGAAATTTTGAGTAGTTCGGAGAACCGGTAAATACCACTCTGACTGGCCCCGCCCCCATCTATTCTCTGCCTCCCAAGTCCCAGCTGATCGGGAGGGAATGGGGATTTTGCAGTATCCTTCCCCTGGAGTGGGGAGGGAATGGAGATTTTACTGTATCCTTCCCCTGCCACGCCCACCGAGCCACGTCCACAGAACCGGTAGTAAAAAAATTTGAATCCCACCACTATCCTGAGGGCTGCATTGGCTAAGGGCGGCGGGAGATGCGGTCAGTTCTTCTCCAGGACAGCCTCTTGGAGAAAGTGAGGGCAGAATTTTAGTGTTGTTTTTTTTTTCTTTCTTTTCAAAGCATTGTAGGAACAACTTCAGGTAGGGCAGTAGCTGGAATGAATTTAGCTGCTTGGAAATAAATTACGTCAGAAAAGCATTCCAAAAGCAGAGTCTGTTGTTTATTTCTGATTTCCTTCTGGAGTGGTGCGGTAGCCTAGAGGTGACGCTCTCGCCTGACAATCAGGAGACTGTGAGTTCGATCCTAAGTAGAGGCAGATATTTCTCTTTTCTGGGCACAATGAGTATATATCTGCTGAACAAAACTCCTCATTGGCAACAGGAAGGGCATCTGGCCAGTAAATACTCAGCTCCATTCCTTGCCCTGCAAGGGATTATGGGGTTGTTAAAAGAGGATGATGATTTCTGGTTTCCTTCTCCTTGCCAATGCCTTTTTTGACCAGATTCAGCCTGGATTTCGGTTTTTTTTTGTTTGCAGACTCCATCCAAAAAGCCTCCGGGCTTGTTTTGACAGCCGTTGAAGAAAGGGCCTAAAGCACAAAGGGAACATTTTAGGTTTTGGCAAGCGTTGTTGAAATGGAGGTTGGCAGGAGCGGTTACAGAATGCAGCCCTCGCATTTTACTGCTGATCTGCTGGGCATCCCATTCAGTCGTAGCTGGCAGGAAAATTTCTGCCTGCAGTCAAATGTTGATGGAATGTCGCGTTCTTTTTTTTAAAAAAAATGAAACAAACCAAAAACTCTTAGAAAGAAGCTGGTGTAGACTGTCGAGAGGGAGATTTTTCTTTAATATATGCGAGTGACTTGAGGACACCAGTCGGATCTTAACGATACCCAGTTAATCTCTCATCAGTTCTCATCTCTGGACCAGTGTTTCTCAACCTTGGCCGTTTTGAGATCTGTGGATATCAAGTCCCAGAATTCCACAGACAACTATGCTACTATGGAATTCTGGGAACTGAAGTCCAGATGCCCTGGAAATTGAAGTCCAGAAACACTTTTCTGGACCTTCTAGACCAGTGTTTCTCAACCTTGGAAGCTTGAAGATGGGTGGACTTCAACTCCCAGAATCCCCCAGCCAGCAACACTGGCTGGGGGATTCTGGGAGTTGAAGTCCACCCATCTTCAAGCTTCCAAGGTGAGAAACACTGTTCTAGACCCATGGCTGGTGTGGAATTCTGGGAGTTGAAGTCCACACATCTCAAAATGGCCAAGGTTAAGAAACACTGCGCTGGACCTTCTAACCTCTGGACTCCTATTTGATCTCTTCACGCCATATTTCTTTTCTAGAATTCTTTCCTAATCCAAAGAAGGGTGGGCTGATATTGAGTGAAATCTCTGTTAAACTTGGATGGTTGCCCTAGCAACTACAGCTGCTGTGGATTGGCTGAAGGGAGTGCTAAATTGGGAGGAAAAACAGGATGAGATTAAACCTTTCAAAAGCTGGTTGAAGTCTCCAAGCTGAGACTTTCTTCCCCATCTCCCTTGCTTGCTTTGCAAAATCCCACCAATTCCTTCCTTCATATTACCAGCAGCCCTTCTCTTCTTCCCTTCTGATGAGGTGGTACAATCTGAAAGCTAGTGCAGTCAGGAGTTCTTAAGAGTCGCAAGTCAGACAGTCCTGGTTTAAGGTCAGGATCTCAGCCCTGATTTAAAATTGGATCTCAGTTATGGTCCTTGTATGAGCCCTAGAGTTATTGGAGGATTTTTAGAATAGAATAGAATAGAATAGAATAGAATAGAATAGAATAGAATAGAATAGAATAGAATAGAATAGAATAGAATAGAATAGAATAGAATAGAATAGAATAGAATAGAATAGAATAGAATAGAATAGAATAGAATAGAATTCTTTATTGGTCAAGTGTGATTGGACACACAAGGAATTTGTCTTTGGTGCATATGATCTCAGTCTACATAAAGAAAAAATAAAATATATTCGTCAAGGATTATAAGATACAACACTTAGTGATAGCCAAGTTTACTAATAAGCTATCAAACTGAACTAGGAAACAAATAAAACAATATAAATTGAAAGATACAAGCAAGATGGTTATAGTAATAAGTGGGAAGAGATAGATACTAGTAAGGAAGAGAAGAATAATAGTAATACAGTCTTAGTAAATTATTTGATAATGTTGTGGGAATTATTTGTTTAGCAGAGTGATGGCGTTCGGGAAAAAACTGTTCTTGTGTCTAGTTGTTCTGGTGTGCAGTGCTCTATAGCGTCGTTTTGAGGGTAGGAGTTGAAACTGTTTATGTCCAGGATGTGAGGGGTCTGTAGATATTTTCACAGCCCTCTTTTTGACTCCTGCAGTATACAGGTCCTCAATGGAAGGCAGGTTGGTAGCCATGGTTTTTTCTGCAGTTCTAACTATCCTCTGAAGTCTGTGTCTGTCTTGCTGGGACAGAACCAAACCAGACAGTTATGGAGGTGCAGATGACAGACTCAATAACTCCTCTGTAGAACTGAATCGGCAGCTCTTGGGGCAAAACAAGAACTGAGGTTAGAATTTTTTGGAGGATGTACAGAGAGAAGCATCTGAAAAGTCTTGAAAGGTGGAGGGGAAAATGCAACCGGAGCTATAGATGGCCCGTCAGCATTTCTCTTGCACCCCAAACCTTTTTCATGGGTGATTTTCTTTGCCATTTGGGGGATGTGAGCGACAAAATGCATGCTTTTAAGCTTGGCAGGGGCCTAGGACAATCATTTCTCTCCCGAGAACTCCCCAACCTGTACAAAACAGGTTGTTGGCTCCTCCTCTGATAGAAATTGTATAAAGTATTGCTTTCTTCAATATCAAATAAATGCACATTTATGATGATCGTGTCTAGCTTTGGAAAAGTGAAAATATGGGAATTGCTAAAAAAAAAAAAGTTTTACATTGTGACACCTTTAAATTTGGTGAGTGGAGTGAACATAGCTGAAAACCTTGAAGCTGTATTGTATGTTTTGTTTTGGTTTGTTTTGTTTTTTGCGTATTTCCTTTGCATAACCAGAATTTTCAGACTTGGCAGTTTTTATAAAGACCTGATAGGCCATTAGTTCTGCTTACAGATGGGGGATCAGACTGAATGAATGTTTGGGATGACAGCTTCATGTTTTCATTACCTCAGCATTGTATTATTCTAACAGTTGGTTGGCTTTATGAAAGAAGACCCAGTATTTAGAGAATTATTTATGTCACAGGTTTTTTTTACTTTGAAAAGAAGGCTGTATACGCTCATGCTTAATGTCACACAATATCTAGACTAGCGTTCTGTTGGGAACTCTTAAGTTTGTTAGAAGGAAATCAATATCACGGCTTTCAACCTGCCCTCTGTTCAGGGTAGAAACTTCTGTTGGCAGCCAGCGGTGTTGTGGTCCGCCAGCAGCCTGAGGAGCTGACAGCGGAGTCGGACAGTGAGGAGGCTGGGGAGGAACATGGGACAGTCCTGGAGTCTGGGGAAGGCCCGGATGAGGGCTCTGTGTCGGAGGCAGAGATGGGGCCAGGGCCATCTGGGAATGATGCGTGGACTCCGGAGCCCCCAGAGTCGGATAGCAGAGAGGCAGAGGAACAGGAGGAGCCTGTTCCTAGTGCACGCATGCGCAGAGCTGCCAGAAGGCAAGAGCAGCTAAAGCAAAAGGGACGATTCAGGAGTAAGGCTAGGAGATGATTGGCCCCTCCATAAGGCTTAAAAGAGAAACCGAGGCACTTGGGCCTTTTGCAGGAAAGCAATGTTGCTAACTCTGTTTCTAGTCAGCATCTTTTGTTTGTTTCTGAACTTAGTGGGGCTTTGCCAAGTAAGGCCTTTGGCAGGGTATCAAAGAAGATAAAGGTTGGTGATTATCCCGAAGGACTTCTTCCGAAGAACTTGTTTTGCTACTAATTGGGACTCAGTTGGGAATGAATGTAATTCTCAGCTGTTACAATAAAATAGGTTTGTTTGGGACTAATTGTGTCTTGTAATGACTCAGTAAGCCTAGATCACAACATGCTGTAGGTTCAAACTTGAACAGAATTCTTAACTAATCCAATTTCTCCACCCAGTATCAGCAACGGTGAAATGCTTAAACCATTAAGGGGGTTTCATTGTGGAAGCTCTTAGCAATATAAAGTTGCTTTTGAACAAGATCTTTTTCTGCTGTTTCAGGTAATAATGGAAGGAAGGGTTGCCCGCTGCATAGGTAATAACCGTAGAGCTTCCATTCAGTTGTTAAAAATGACGATGAATCTGTTTATCTTTTCAAAGAACAATCAAGTAGCTTTTAATTCGTTATTCTTTGTTGCTTTCTTAGCAATCTCCCCATTCGCTTACTGGTGTTCCTTCCTTTTTCTCTTGCAGCTACATAGAGAAGTTTACTGACTTTCTACGCCTTTTTGTGAGTGTCCACTTGAGAAGGATCGAGTCCTACTCGCAGTTCCCTGTGGTTGAATTCCTTTCACTGCTGTTCAAATACACCTTTCATCAGGTACTCCCTCCTTTGAAAAGGGCAGCTCTGTTCCCGTGTCGTGATCGCTGTCTTGCATAGAAATGTATTTCTGTGAAGGTGCAAAACTATTTTCTGTGTATTTGGGTTCAGCGGTTCTGCATGAGGAACTCTTGATTGTTTTTTTTCCTGTTTTGTTTATTAACCTTGTATTTCAAAATAGTGCCCACCTTTGATCGTCCTCTGCAAAAACCGTATGTATGTTTTCCCATCTTGGAGAAGATCTATCTATGTACAGGTAGTCCTCAACTTACAACAGTTCAAATACAACGGTCATTTAGTGACCGTTCGAAGTTATAACGGCTCTGAAAAAAGCAACTTGTGACCATTTTTCACACTTAACAACCATTGCAACATCCCCATGGTCAGGTGGTCAAAATTCAGGTGCTTGGCAACTGACTCATATTTATGTCAATTGCAGCGTCCTGAGGTCATGTGATCATTTTGGGGTGACCTGACTAAGTGTGATGATCCTGACTAACAAATCCAAGCAAATCAGAACTCTGAGGCTGAGGTCTTTCTCTAAGAACTTCTTTATTGGGTACATTATATCGGCACAATCAAATGGAAAACCAACTCTAACCCCGGTTTCTGTATAATTAAAAAGAGGAAATCGCTCCCTCCCCAAAAGTCACAGATCACGTTGGCCAGTTAGGTTAATTGGTGGGCTCCCCAGGCACTCCTCCCCGTCTCTATCCACCACCTGTAGAGATGACCTTGGTTCCCACGAGAAAGCTTGGTGTTTTGTCTAGCAATGCATTTCATCCTCCTCCCCCTTCCCCCGTCTCTGTAGCAACGGAGAAATAGAAAAAAATGGCTGCTGCCAGGTTGGATTCAAAGATTGACACAAAGTCAGTGGGGAACTCAGATTCATTTAACAGCCGCGTTACTAAGTTAACAATTGCAGGGATTCCTTTAACAACCGCAGCAAGAAAAGTTGTAAAGTGGGGCAAAACTCACTTAGCCAATGTTTCACTTAGCAGCAGAAATGTTGGGCTCAATGGGGTCGTAAGTTGAGGACTACCTGTAGACACCAAGAATCAACCCTTGGCATATAATTAGTCAGAATTGCAAAAAAAGACCCAGCTCACCTGAGTAACCTGTGATGCTCGTGAAAAGTGAAAGGGAAGGAAAGAGGAAGAAAGCCAGGAACAAGACAGATGGACTTGATCAGAGTGACTATGGATGAACCATTGCAATCCCTGAAGGGCCAGGTTGGGGAAGGGTCCCTGTTGAGAATATCTAGGTAGTTGCTTAATGTTGACACTATAATGATGCCACCTAATCAGCGCAAAGACCCAGCTCTTTTCAGAAATCCATATTACTAGGAAAGTTGGAAGAAAAACAAAGAAAACGGCCAATAGCAAGGTGTAGGTACTCAATGAAAAGAGCAATGAATGTACCACCTGAGAAGCCTAAAAGGCCCAGTTGGGGACATTTTATCTTTGAGACAGTCAATCACTGTGGTTGCTAAGAGATGGCATTGACTTGATATCATGCAATCAATGCTTCAGAAATCCAATCTGTCAGCTAGAAAACCGGCAGCCCAGGTTCAAGACCCAAGCGCCACATGATGGGGCGAGTTCCCATCCTCACCTCAGCTCCTGCCAACCTAGCAGCTTGAAAGCATGCAAATGCGAGTAGATAAATAGGTACCACATCGGTGGGAAGGTAACAGTGCTCCGTGATGTCATCTTGGCCACATGATTGCGCAAATGTCTTCAAACTGCTGGCTCAAAGGCCTTGAAATGGAGATGAACACACACACTATATTTGGCAATGACTAGCGGAGTAAAATCTGCAGGGACTCCTTTACCTTTACCTAAAATTGAAGTCATAACTGATTGATTATGAACCACCAAGTCAGATTTGACTGTTAGCAGTTACCAATTTTCTCCAGGAGCGTCTCTCTCCAACTCAGGTCTTCCTAAGATGCACCCCTCACTGCTGTAATCAAACCTATAATCAGAGTCCTAGACCATTCTTCCTCAACCTTTAAGATAATGTGGACTTCGTGCTGGCTGGGGAATTCTGGGAGTTGAAGTCCACATGTCTTAAAGTTGCCACACAGTTAGACACTACTGCTTTAGAGCAATGCTCCCATTGGTTGTGGGTTGGGAAGATGGACCATTTCAACCAGCCAGGTAAAGGCGAGCTTTCCTTCCAAATATGATTCGTTGCACGACAGTGTGGAGATGTAGCTGTGCCTTTGTATAGTCCCCAATCAAATAAATAAGCAGAAAAGGAAGTTATTTCCATGGAACGTTGTAAACCAGTGGCCCATCCGTGTCCTACAGCTGAATAATAGAAGAATATCAGAGAATCCATGGGATTAGCAATAGCACTTCACACTGCTTTACATCTCTCTCTGAGCGCTTTACAGTGTCAGCCTATTACCCCCAACAATCTGGGTCCTCATTTTACTGACCTCGGAAGGATGGAAGTCTGAGTCAACCTTGTGCTGGTCAGGATTGAACTCCTGGCAGTGGGCAGAGTTAGCCTGCAATAGCAATAGCACTTAGACTTATATACCGCTTCATAGTACTTCACAGAGTGCTTTTACAGCCCTCTCTAAGCGGCTTACAGAGTCAGCACATTGCCCCCAACAATCTGGGTCCTCATTTTACCAACCTCGGAAGGATGGAAGGCTGAGTCAACCTTGAGCCCTGTGAGATTTGAACTGCCAAATTGCAGGCAACTGGCAGAAGTAGTTTGTTGTTATTGTTAGCTGTGAAGTCGTATCCGACCCATTGCAACCCCATGGACAACATTCCTCCAGGCCTTCCTGTCCTCTACCATCCTCTGGAGTCCATTTAAGCTCACACCGACTGCTTCAGTGACTCCATCCAGCCACCTCGTTCTCTGCCGTCCCCTTCTTCTTTCGCCCTCCATCGTTCCCAGCATTAGGCTCTTCTCCAGGGAGTCCTTCCTTCTCATTAGGTGGCCAAAGTATTTGAGTTTCCTCTTCAGGATCTGGCCTTCTAAAGAGCAGTATTCTAACTATTTTGCCACCACGGAGCTGAGAGATGCTCCAGGTTTATTCAGAATGTGCCCCTTAAAAAGAAAACAAAACCTCTGAATAGGACAGGAAAACTTAAGTTTGTTTTTTAATGAAATGACTTACAAATGTGTCTGTTCCATCACCAGTTGTGTGGCTAAACAACCTGTTTTTCATGTGCCTTTTTCAGCCCACGCATGAAGGTTACTTTTCCTGCTTAGACATCTGGGCTCTGTTTTTGGACTATTTGACCAGTAAAATAAAGAATCGCTTGGCAGATAAAGAAGCAGTACTCAACAGGTAAGCCACCGAGTTTACTGTTCAGGTAGGGTACCAAAAAAAAAGACATGTTTTGATTATTTGACTCAGTGTTTTTTTTTGCAGTGCTATTCCCCTGTCTGTCTCCCTTGAAGGTTTCAAGGTCCTTGGCAGGGATGCTCAGAACAGTGAAGGTCTTTTAGCTATGTGCTTTGTGTTTGGACAATTACGGCCTCTAAACACAAGCATCAAGGTATCAATACCAAAGGTGTATTCTCACAGAATCTCTCTGTCATTGCTCTGTGGTACCCATCTTGCCTTCAGACATTCTGAAACATATAAGGAACAGTTGCTTGAATTGGGTATGTCTAGTTTAATGAAAAGAAGGATTAGGGGAGACATGATAGCAGTGTTCCAATATCTCAGGGGCTGCCACAAAGAAGAGGGAGTCAACCTATTCTCCAAAGCAAAACTTGCCTCCAGAACTTGTGAACGCTCCAACACTGGAAGTTTTTAAGAAGAGATTGGATTACCATTTGTCTGAAGTGGTATAGGGTTTCCTGCCTAAGCAGGGGGTTGGACTAGAAGACCTCCAAGGTCCCTTCCAACTCTGTTATTCTATTCTATTCTATTCTATTCTATTCTATTCTATTCTATTCTATTCTATTCTATTCTATTCTATTCTAGTACAGGTAGTCCTCCACTTACAACAGTCCATTTTGTGATCGTTCAAAGTTACAACGTAAGTGACTTATGGCCATTTTTCACATTTTCAACCGTTGTAGCATCCCGACTGTCACAGGATCAAAATTCAGGTGCTTGACTGCTGACTCCCAACGGACGCCGTGTCCCGGGATCACATGATCCCCTTTTGCGACCTCCCGACAAGCAAAGTCAGCGGGGAAGCCAGATTCACTTCACAAAGTGGCTTACTAACTTTTCGCCTGCAGTGATTCACTTAACAGCTGTGGCAAAGAAAAGCCGTAAACTGTGGCAAAACTCACTTAACAAATGCCTCCCTTCACAAACAGAAATTTGGGGCTCAGTTGTGGTCGTAAGTCGAGGACTGCCTGTATTATTTGCTTGGGAAAGATTGAAGCAACCATAGTCCATGCATGTGGAATTACAGTCGGCACGTGGAATTATGAGTTGTTTCACTTGAAACCACTGGTAGGAGTCAGTCTGGAATGCGCAGCATCTTAAATACATATTAAATATCCAGTAAGTGCATCCTCCAGTCCTCAAGCACTCCCTGTAGTAAGTTTGAGAACAAAAAAGCTAATGTATCAGAGGACAATGTTGTGGTCTGGCCCATTAAGCCTGGAACAATTCTTAACAGATTCTTTCAATCTGAGTTTTATAGAATAATAGAATTCTTTATTAGCCAAGTGTGATTGGACACACAAGGAATTTGTCTTGGTGCATACGCTCTCAGAGTACATAAAAGACAAGATACATTCGTCAAGAATCATAAGGTACAACACTTAATGATAGTCATAGGGTACAAATAAGCAATCAAATCATACTAGGAAACAACCAATATAAATCGTAAGGATGCAAGCAACAAAGTTACAGTCATGCAGTCATAAGTGGGAGGAGATGGGTGATAGGAACGATGAGAAGATTAATAGTAATGCAGACTTAGTAACTAGTTTGACAGTGTTGAGGGGATTATTTGTTTAGCAGAGTGATGGCATTCGGGAAAAAACTGTCCTTGTGTCTAGTTGTTCTGATGTGCAGTGCTCTGCAGCCTCGTTTTGAGTTGAAACAGTTTATGTCCAGGATGTGAGGGGTCTAGATATTTTCCCAGCCCTCTTTTTGACTCGTGTAGTATACAGGTCCTCAATGGAAGGCAGGTTGGTAGCCATGGTTTTTTCTGCAGTTCTAATTATCCTCTGAAGTCTGTGTCTGTCTTGTTGGGTTGCAGAACCAAACCAGACAGTTATAGAGATGCAGATGACAGACTCCATAATTCCTCTGTAGAACTGGATCAGCAGCTCCTCGGGCAGTTTGAGCTTCCTGAGTTGGCGCAGGAAGAACATTCTCTGTCGTGCTTTTCTGATGACATTTTTGATGTTAGCTGTCCATTTTAGGTCTTGCGATATGGTAGAATCTAGAAATTTGAAGGTCTCTACTGTTGATACTGTGTTGTCTAGTATTGTAAGAGGTGGTAGAAGATGACTTCGAACGGAGCAAACCGGAGCCAGCCGAGCCAGCTGTTCCCGTAATAGCGAGGCACGAACAAGCAGAAATAAGTCTGCATTCCTCTTTGTGTGGAAGAGCCTTTCTTTTGCTGTAGCTCTTCCCGCAATCATGGGAACAGGAAATGTAAAGTGAATGTTTACATGTAAATGAGAGGGCAGTTGCAACACAGGGCCAGCGTTCGAGACTTCTGCTTAGCGTAGCGACTTCACCGCTTTGTGTATTCATTAGAGCATCGTATTTGCATGATCCCGGGATCACCAAGGCTGCCAGTTGCCTTATTCGGCTCCCTGCCTGACCGGTACCATTACTATGATCCAATTCAGATCACCGTCTTATTCAGATCAAAACTCAAGACGCTTGGCAACTTGGTTCACATTTATGACAGTCGCAGTGGCCCTCAGAGTCACGTGATCCCCTCGTGGGATCTTCTGACAAGCAAAAGACAATGGGGAAGGCCAGATTCACTTAACAACTGGGTTACTCACTTATCAACTGCAGTGATTCACATACAGTAGTAGCCAAAATTGTGGAAACCTTTTGGGGAAAGTGTATTTTCTAAAACTAGCTAATAACACCACTTTTTTTTTTTTTTTTTTTTGAGTAGTACCATACAATTATATATCAATGGGAAGATAATTTAATCAAGAATGTAATGCAATAACTTTTAGGAAAGATTTGCTATTAGAATAGCAGTTGCAGTATAAAGAAGAAAAGTAAAACACGTAGACAAAACAAGATATACAAAAATGATCCCCATGTCAGTTAATCCTTAGCTGGGGAACCTTTAACATGAATAACAGCCTTACAACATCTTCCCATGGAGCGAACCAAGTCTGTTAGTTCTGCAGCTGTTCTAATGTGAAACCAAGATTGAAGGATGGCTTCTATTAACTGGGTTTTATTGCTGGGTCGCTTCTGACTAACAAGTTTCTTTAGTCGGCTCCAGTGGTGGGTTATCCCCGGTTCGGACCGGTTTGCAAGAACCGGTAGTAAAACCGGTGGGAGGCTCCCCCACCAATCCGGATGTCGTTAGGAAGCTTCTGCGCATGCCCGTGCAGTCCCATTGCGAACCGGTAGTAAAAATAAGTAGAACCCACCCCTGATCGGCTCCATAGATTTTCAATTGGGTTAAGATCTGGGCTATTCCCAGGTCATTCCAGCAGTGGAATAGGATTATCTTGAAACTCAAAAAAAAAAAAAAAAGTGTTATTAGCCAGTTTCCACAATTTTAGCCAGTACTGTAACAACCGTGGCAAGAAAGGTTGTAAAACGGGGCAAAACTCACTCCACAAAAGAAATTTGGGGGCTCCGTTGTGGTTGTAAATCAAGGACTGTCTGTCCTTCTAGCCCAGGAGAGAATGGCCTGAGCATTTTTGTCCTACAGGTGTTTGTCCTACAGAAACAAGCCCCAGAGCCTGATCTATTCTCACAGGAGACGAGCGACATCGGAATAAGCTTCAAAAACCTTCCAATCCCTGAGAACTTTTTTTCATTTTTTTTAAAGGCTCTGGTTCACTAATGGCTTCCAGGGACCCGGTGTCCTCAGTATGGGATGAATCTCAATAAATTGGGAACTTCTCTTTGTTTTGCAAAATTCAGAGCAGGCCACGTTGCCTGCACACACACACGATGCTTTGAGGAAACCCTTCGATTAAGTTCACGAACAGAAAACGGGGTTTCGAACAAGTCGGGTTGCCGTCTACTTGGCGATTTCCTCTTTCCAGCAGGGCCAGCTGGAGTATTTGCTTGCAACACGTGAGGTCACACAGGCCTTTTCTTTCTTTCTTCCTGCTTCTTTCCTCATTTTGGACCGTTTTGCTTTCTCTCTCCCCCCCCCCCCCCACAGGTACGAGGACGCTCTGGTTTTGCTGCTGACCGAAGTACTAAACCGAATACAGTTCAGGTACAACCAGGCCCAGTTGGAAGAGCTGGACGACGAGACGCTGGATGATGATGTAAGAAACGGAGTCCTTGAAGCACGGGTGAAATGTAAAATTTGTTACTACCAGTTCTGTGGACGTGGCTTGGGGGTGGTGGGGGTAATGTGACTGGGTGGGCGTGGCCAACTTTTTTTTTTTTTTTAACTTTTCAAAGCATTTTTTCTAATGCTTTGAAAAGCCTCTGCCAATCAGGCAACTCAGCTGGGATAGTCAGAGAGGATTTTTTAAAAATACCTCTCTGACAATCCCAGCTGAGTTGCCTGATCAGCAGAGAGGTAGTTTTTAAAAATTTATTATCAGGCAACTCAGCTGGGATCGTCAGAGACTTTTCAAAGCATTTGTTTTACCACCTCTTCAGCCAAGAGGTTGCAGAAAAAAAATGCTTTGAAAAGCATCTGATGATCCCAGCTGAGCCGCGCAATCATCAGAGGCTTTTTTTTTTTTTTTACTTTTAAAAGCATTTTTTCGTCGGAAGGGATTGTAGAAAAAATGCTTTTAAGAGTAAAAAAATGATGATCGTGTGGCTCAGCTGGGCATGGGGGGTGGGGGGCACAGGGATTTTTGCTGAACCACCCGTCACCATCGGTACCGGATCGGGCGATCCGATCCGAACCGGGAGCATTTCACCCCTGCCTTGAAGGCGTGAGATTGGGATGGGGGGGGCAGCCCATAGGCCAAAGTCTCCCAGGGTTCCCCCCCACACACACACACACACATACACAGCATCCCTTTTGCAACTTTCTTTTTAAAAAAAAAAATATATATTAAATTTCCAAAGATTAAAATACACAGTACAAAAAGAAACATAATACACAAAAAAAACAAGACACACAAAAGAAATATAAACAAACAAAAACAAACGTATCAAATTTTCAATACTAGCAACAACTTTTCTGCATCGGTATCTCTAACCTATTTAACCTCTTTACACAAAATATCTCTATTTTAAACTTACATCCTTGTTTAATTTATCTTAACTTCTACTTACAATTCGATATCATAACAAAAGTATCCCTTAAGTTTTATGTTTACTCTCCAGCCAGGAATACCATTTATTCCATATTAAATAGTACTCTGAGTCCTCCCTCTCCCTTTTGCACCTTTTAAAGGATGGATGCCCCAAAGATGCTTCCCCTTCCCCCCCCCCCCCCCGCCCCAGAAAGCAACTGGACTTTTCCTTGAAGACGTTTCCCTTCTCATCCAAGAACCTTCTTCGGTTCTGACTGAACGGTGGCGTGTGGAAGGATAAAGCTTCTTGGATGAGAAGCGAAACGTCTTCAAGAAAAACTCAAAGGAAGCCCAGTTGCCTTTGGAAAAAAGCTCCTTTGGGACAACCCCGTAGACACTGGGGACCGTATCGTGAGACTAAAAGTGTAATGAAGAGACCCGTCCTCAGAATAAAGGCAGTAAAATATGTACCCAATAGAGAATGATGCAAATGAGATTCTGTTAAGATTCTCCAAACCCAAGGATCTAATTCAGGGATGACAAACTCAAGGCCTGCGGGCCGCATCTGGCCTGCGATGTGGTTGGACACGGCCAGTGGGGCCATCCTGGAAAACGTAAAGGGCCGGCCCATGTTGCTTTGACCCGGTCTACCCAATGCAAACAAGAAACTTCGGGCCAGCGTCGCTTCGGCCCGGTCTACCCAAAGGAAAGAGGAAACAAGCCAGCAGTTTGGAGAGTGGTGTCAAGCTGGCCACGCCCATCCAGCTAGCCATGCCCACCCAGTCGGCCACGCCCAGCACATGGTGTCAAGCTGGCCACACTCACCCAGGCAGCCACACCCAGCAAGTGGCCTCAAGCTGGCCACGCCACCCAGTTGGCCACGTCCACCCCCTTGGTCCCCCCCCAAGGTCAACCACAGCCCTGATGCAATTGAGTTTGACACCCCTGATCAAACTCCTGTTGTGCTGAAGGGAAATGAGATAAAATAGACTGTTCCATTTCAGATCAGCGGTCCCCAACCTTTTGGGCACCAGGGACCGGTTCTGTGGAGAGAGGTTTTTCCGCGGAGTGGAGAGAAAGTGGTTTCACATGCTGCCTGCATCATGAAGATGGGGGGGCTTCGCTTATTTGCATGGACCTGTTTTTGGCATGCTACGGACCGGTGCCAGTCCATGAACTGGGGATTGGGGACCCCTGCTTTAGATCACAAACGGGTAACATCATCTTTAAACCATCCACCATGCTGAAAATATTTCCCATGATTTGGAAACCGGCATGGGGAGATTAGAACCTTTCTCCTTGGAGCTGTTTGACTTCATAATATAATTGCTTTTCTCCCCCCCATTGTTCCAATAAGGTTCCAGGTTTAGAGTTAAGAGCCCGACTTTGAAGGAAATAAAAAAAAAAAACCAGCAGATTACATCTTTGTTTTTACCCCCTTAACAGCAACAGACCGAATGGCAGCGGTATCTCCTTCAGAGCTTAGAAGTTGTGGCCAAAGTTATGGAACTTTTGCCAACTCATGCCTTCTCTACGCTGGTAAGTGGACGGAGTGAATATCATAAAATGATAAAGAGCAGAGAGGGACCTTAGAGGCCATCTAGTCAATCAGTTTATTACAGTCTTAGACCAGAGACCAGAACAAATAAAAACGCATGACGGTGTCCCCTTAGACTTGCAAAATATGCCAAATTCTGGGTTAAATGCACCAATTAACAAACAGTACCTAGCTCATCAGTACTCAGCAGAATTATCTTCCAACAAGGGCTCCTACTGAGAACTCATACTGACAATAGAAAGACCAGTGCAAGAAAAATACCTTAAGCATTATGTCATGGAAGGTAGCTGGGTGATACCGTTTTAGAGGCTTAAATTACCGTATTTTTCGGACTATAAGATGCATCGGACTAAGACGCACCTAAATTTAGAAGAGGAAAACAACAACGAAAAAAGGTTTTGGCCTCCATGTGTCCCATTTTCAGGCCCTTTTTCTGGCCTTTTCCAGCCTTTTTTCTGCCCATTTTTGAGGCTTTTTCCAGCCCGTTTTTAGGCTCTTTTCAGCCCGTTCTTTTTGGTGGGAGGGAAACAGGTCGAAAAAAGCCTTGAAAACGGGGTGGAAAAAGCCTCAAAAACAGGGTGGAAAAAGCCCCGAAAATGGGCCAAAGAAAGCCTTGAAAATGGGCCAAAAAAAGCCTCAAAAACAGGCTGAAAAAAGCCCCGAAAATGGGTCAAAAAAAGGCCCCAAAACAGGGCATGCGGAAGCCAAAAAACGGGCGGCGGGTGGGCGGGACTTCGGCAATACTCGATCTATAAGACGCACAGACATTTTCCCCCTTTTGGGAGACAAAAAAGTGTGTCTTATAGTCCGAAAAATACAGTACTCTGATCCTGTGATAGATAAGGATATAATTTAGATGCAAGGGACTTGGAGCACGGATGACCTCCTGCTAAAGGGTTATCAGTCACATAAGCTAGAAGCAAGGCCAGGCAGAGGCCCAGGAAGCCTGAAGGGAGGGCCATCTAGTCCTATTCCCTGCAGGATACACTAAAGCAGTCTTTCTCAGCCTTGGCAACTTTAAAGGGTGTAGGACTTCAACTCCCAGAATTCTTCAACCAGCATGTCTCAGGCTGTCAATGCTACCTGGCAGGGATGGAACCTGGCCTGCCATTTGGATGTGGCTTGCTCTGGGCGCTCATTGCTTTCTTCTGATTCATTTAATTTTATTCCATATTTTTCAGCCTTGGGAACTTTTAAAATGGTGGACTTCAATTCCCAGAATTCCCCAGGCAGCTATGGGGAGCCCACACCTCTTAGAAGTTCCCATGGTTGAGAAACACTTGGTAGCGCCACGGTGGCACAGTGGTTAGAGTGCAGTACTGCAGGCTACTTCTGCTGACTGCTGGCTGCCTGCAAATTTGGCAGTTCGAATCTCACCAGGCTCAAGGTTGACTAAGCCTTCCATCCTTCCGAGGTTGGTAAAATAAGGACCCAGATTGTTGGGGATAAGAGGCTGACTCTGTAAACCGCTTAGAGAGGGCTGTAAAGCGGTATATAAGTCTAAGTGCTATTGCTATAGAACTAGAAGTTTAATTTTTTTCCCCCAACTCGCCATGGAAAGCACCGTGCTAAAAAGTTTATCGTGCCTAAAATGAGGTGGTAAGAAATCAAGCGAGAGTATTTGGCAAACTTTTATACAGAGAAGATTTGAGGGAAATTCCGATCTGGGAACCCAAATAGATAAAAGCAACTTCGTTTTTAGGCCTCTGTAAAACTCCCAACTGTTCCCACTGGTTTACTACTTAACCGCCGTGGAAGTGCTTCCTTTTCACTAGTTTCCAATGTGTTCTCCTTCCTTATTTGCGATATGCTCACGTGATTGTTTTTTTCAGCATGTTCGGTTTGTTTGTTTTGTAACTTTTTGAATCTCACGTCCCTGTTCCAATAACATTGGAAACATGTGATTAGCCACCGTGCAGATAATAAAAGCAAGCTTGAGAAATGAAAGCCGCTCTGTGTTTCTTCCTATTAGTGGACAGATGGATCTTTGCGGGCACATGCCACGTCCTGTTGAGTGGAAGGGCATTTCCCAATATCTTGCACGCTAGAACGAAAAAGAAACAGCAATGTTTTCTTTTTTGTTACTTCTGGAGAGTGTTCCTGCATTGTGATTTTGTTTCTTTTCCCACTTGCTACCCAAGGGTAACTTCCTTGCCTTATTTTACTACGGGAGTGAAGTCCGTTATTATGTCCGTTCTAATCTTTGAGTGCATCATAGAGTTTTGATCCAAGGGTCTCTTAATTCACATTTTAATACCAAATCTATTCTGATAAACTTTGTCCTTGACCCAGGGGTTCGCAGGGGTTCAGGAGAACCTCTAGCTAAAATTCTGTGCAGTTCGGATAACCCCCAAATCCCATTCCTTGCTGGCCCCACCAACTCCACCCCTCCCAGGAGTCCCCACGCGGCCCGTTTTGGATCCAGACAAGTGCAGGGGGTACACGGAGGCTCGGGAAGGGTGAAAAATGGGCCTAACTCCAGAGGGCCTCCAGAGCCTGGGGAGGCCGTTTTTGCCCACCCGGAGGCTCGAGGAAAGCCTCCGGAGCCCGTGGAGGGCAAAAATGCCCCCCCCAGCCCCCATGGTGCAGGAGGCCAACTAGGCCATGCCCATCCAGCAACCGGGCAAAGAACCCCTTGCTATAATTTTTGAAACCCACCCCTGCCTTGACCCAAAGGTGCTTTTTCAAGAAGCAACTGGACTTTCTGGTTTTTCTTTGAAGACGTTTCGCTTCCCATCCAAGAAGCTTCTTCAGCTTTGAAGCTTCTTGGATGAGAAGCGAAACGTCCCCATGGACAACGTGCCTTCCTGTCCTCTACCGGAGGCCATTTAAACTCACGCCGGCTGCTTCAGTGACTCCATCCAGCCACCTCGTTCTCTGCCGTCCCCTTCTTCTTTTGCCCTCAATCGTCTCCAGCGTTAGACTCTTCTCCAGGGAGTCCTTCCTTCTCATTAGGTGGCCAAAGTATTTGAGTTTCCTCTTCAGGATCTGGCCTTCGAAAGAGCAGTCAGGGTTGATCTCCTCTAGGATTGACCGGTTGGGTCGCCTTGCAGTCCAAGGGACTCGTAGAAGTCTTCTCCAGCACCAGAGTTCAATTACGGACATAAGTCTCAAAGACTACCTTTATGGGAAAATTTTGCAAAAATAAAACAGGACAGCTGGAAGCAAACCATAGGAAGTCAGCCTAATGTTGGTTTAACTAGGTTCCTGGAAAGAAAAGCTGATTATGATTCCTGCGCTGTACGTTTCATAATCATCTCCTGCTGAGAAACTGGGGCATACCTGCCAGCTTCCATCACGGTCCTTGCCTTGAAATTATCGCTTTAAATTTCTTGGTTGTGACAAGCACATCTTGCAGAGACCAGGGGGTTTCCCCACTGTTTCTCCCCATTGCTTAAAAAGGACGAGATGACTTTTCCTGCAGGGAACTAAATCACTCCAGACATTTTATTTATTTATTCAATACCTGCTGTGTTGAGAGAGAGAAGCTTGTGGCAATCTATAATAGAACAGCCTTAAATCTCTAATGAAACAGTCTAAATAATTTCACATGGCAATAATCCATGATTAAAAATACAGATAAAAATCAGAAAACTACCTGTCGAAAAGCAACAAAATTAATGGCGTGTGTCAATGTAGCCTAAAGATGACGAGGCTTTAAATTGGTGGTTCCAGGTTTAAAACGTCCTTTTTACAATGAATTTCCAAGGTGACTTTAAATAAGACATGGTGAAGGTCAGACTGGAAAATACTTCTTCCTCTTGAGAAATGTTTTCCCAGTGATTCTGCCCTGAAAGAACTATGCTTGTCTGGAAATAATCAAAATTGTGTCCCAAAGGTGCTTTTTCAAAAGGCTTGTTGTTAATAGTGAAGTCATGTCCGACACATCGCGACCCCATGGACAACGTTCCTCCAGGCCTTCCTGTCCTCTACCATCCTCTGGAGTCCATTTAAGCTCACGCCGACGGCTTCAGTGACTCCATCCAGCCACCTCGTTCTCTGCCGTCCCCTTTTCTTTTGCCCTCCATCGTTCCCAGCATTAGGCTCTTCTCCAGGGAGTCCTTCCTTCTCATTAGGTGGCCAAAGTATTTGAGTTTCCTCTTCAGGATCTGGCCTTCTAAAGAGCAGCCAGGGTTGATCTCCTCTAGGCCTGACCGGTTTGATCGCCTTGCAGTCCAAGGGATTCACAGGAATCTTCTCCAACACCAGAGTTCAAAGGCCTCCATTCTTTGGCGCTCAGCCTTCCTTATGGTCCAACTTTCACAGCCACACATTGCAACTGAGAAAACCATTGCCTTGACTATACACACTTTTGTTGGCAGGGTGATGTCTCTGCCATTTAGTATGCGGTCTAGCTTTGCCATGGCTTTTCTCCCCAGGAGCAAACTGGGCAAGCTGAACAAGGCTAGTGGACTTTTTTTCCCCCTTGAAGATGTTTCGCTTCTTATCCAAGAAGCTTCTTTAGTTCTGACTCCCCTTCAAGGAAAAACAAATCCAGTTGCCTTTTGAAAAAGCACCTTTGGCACAACCATGACCTGGATGACTGAGAATCTCCATAGACAATAGAAATTGTGCTTGGACACTTGCTGAGAAGGTCAGATTGGGAACCATGCCATAGAGCTATGCTGAGCTTTCAAACTGAATTTCTGAATTGGTTTTTTTCCCATTCTTCGTGCTTGAGATGTCTCATCCACTTTGACTTTAATTTCAGCTCTTGTAGTTACACCTTCCTTTTTTTTTTTTTTGCTTTAGTTTCCAGTGCTCCAGGAAAATCTGGATGTGTATCTGGGACTCCAACAGTTCATTGTCACCTCAGGGACAGGTAAGGTAAACTTTCTGTGTTTGAAGTCTCAGGTCAATTCAATGTGACCAATATTCATTAATATTAGGAGCCCTGGTGGCACTATGGTTAAATTGCAGTATTGCAGGCAAACTCTGCCATAACCTGGAGTTCGATCTTGAGGGGGCTCAACGTTGACTCAGCCTTCCATCCTTCCGAGGTGGGTAAAATGAGGACCCAGATTGTTGGGGGCAATATGCTGACTCTGTAAACCACTTAGAGAGGGCTGTAAAAGCACCGAAAAGCGGTATATAAGTCTAAGTGCTATTGCTATAAGAGTCGGGGCATTAAAGGGAAAAGATCTCAGTTGCTGGAATTTGAAAGAAGCTGAAAACATATCTCTCTTGAAAGAGATCAGGGTCTGGCACAAAAGTACAACTCAGTTAGAATGTGATGGGGAATTTCAACACCCATTTTCCCAGCTTTGAGAGAGGGCAGGATTTCATATAACAGGGTTATGTACCATTCATCATTGCTAAAATACTGGTGCCACTCCTAACAACCCTTTTGTCAGTGGCCAGAATACGTAGGATCTGCCTGTTTCCTATTTCTCTTTTTTGCCATTTTACCCATCGCCTTTTCCCCACCGAACTGACAGCTGCGTCAAATGTACGCCCCTTTCTTGGGGCTATCCCTGAGAAACTATACCTGGCTATATCTGATGAAGGGTATATTGTACTCCGCAGAAGAACATGCATTCATAAATCAGCTTTGAGCTTTTCGTTATTGCCGTCTCCATTCCAAGCTAATAACCATTTTTAAACAGTCTCCAGAATTGTTACGGAGACATAGGAAAGTACAAAATGAGGTGGTAGCTTGACATTGATTGACAATGGCGTTTTAAAGGAGAGGACTGAAAAGGACGTTTTGGAAGAGCCTGCATTTGGGTGCTTGGCAACTGTCTCATATTTATGACGGTTGCAGTGTCCCAGGATCACCTAATCCCCTTTTGCGACCTTCTGACCAGCAAAGTCAGTAGTGGCCAAAATTGTGGAAACTTTTTGGGAAAAGTATATTTTCTTTTTTCTTTTTTTTATAAAAGTTTTTTATTTTTATTTCTCATCAAACATACATAAATGTACAATCTCTTTAACCATTCTTATCACACATATTATCTTTTGGTTTCCATATTGGTTCATTCTTCATCCTAAAAGTTTAAAATACATTTGGAGTTTCTCTTCTACCATTCCATATCTCCCTTCTTCCACAACATCCATTCCTCTCCTTCTCCCCTCTTACCTTCCCTCCCTTCTTCTATTCTTTTCAACTTTCTTCTTTCCTTCTCTCCTTCCCCTTCCTTTCCCCCACTCCGCCCCTCTTTCTCTCTTTCTAACCCTTTCTCCTACTCTTATTTCCCCTCTCTTTCTTCCTTTCCTTTCCCCTTTCTTCCCTCTCTCTCTCTCTGGGAAAAGTATATTTTCTAAAACTAGCTAATAACACCACTTCTTTTTTTAGTAGTACCATAAAATTATATATCAATGCAAAGATAATTTAATCAAGAATATAATGCAATAATTTTTATGAAGGATTTGCTATTAGAATAGCAGTTACAGTAGAAAGAAGAAAAGTGAAACACCTAGATAAAACGAGATATGCAAAAATGATCCCCACGTCAGTTAATCCTTAGTTGGGTAACCTTTAGCATGAATGACAGCTTTACAACATCTTCCCACGGAGTGAACCAAGTCTTTGAGTTCTGCAGCTGTTATCATGTGAAACCAAGATTGAAGGATGGCTTCTATTAACTGGGTTTTATTGCTGGGTCGCTTCTGACTAACAAGTTTCTTTAGTCAGCTCCATAGATTTTCAATTGGGTTAAGGTCTGGGTTATTCCCAGGCCATTCCAGCAGTGGAATAGGATTATCTTGAAACTCCAAACAAAAAAAGTGATGTTATTAGCCATCAAACCTCAAAAATACACTTTTCCCAAAAAGGTTTCCATAATTTTGGCCACTCCTCTACTTTACAATGGTGATACTAACTTAACAACCACAGTGATTCATTTAACAATGCTGGCCGTGTAAAATGGAGCAAAAGTCAATTAACAACCGTCTCAGTTAGCAGCAGAAAATTTGGGCTCAAGTGTGGTCATAAGTTGAGGACCGCCTGTAGCGCACACTCAAGATTTAGGGTTTGAATCTTGGATCGTTGCTTGTGGTACCGTATAGTTGCCTTGTTCTGAAAAGAGCCCGAAGCTTTCAAAGGAAGGAAGACGAGTAAAGGATGAGGGAGAATTAAAGTAAGACTTTCCTTTTTCAGAATCGTCCTTTTGTTTAATTGGAGCCATGAAAGAGTCTCCAGTTCAGAACTGCGATGGGCAAAACCACTCCTTAGACCAAATGCCTGTAATGCAATCCCAATAATTGTTTCATTTCCTGCAAAAGGGAACGTTATAATTAGATTTCTCTTCTTGAGAGCTTCGTATGCTTTCAGGGTTATCGTTCTGGACGAGCTCAGTCCTTAAATTCCATTAAGAGCAAAATTGGGACTAGTCCAGGGGGGGGAGGGGTAACTATTGCCCCTTTACGACCCGTGAACTTCAACTCCCAGAATTCCTGAGCCAGCCATGCTCACCCCTGGACCTAGTGGGTGGGATCTGCAACCTTAAACACTCAAAGAGCCATTTGGACCCGTTTCCCACAGAAAAGAAAACACCGGGAGCCACAAAACTTGGGTGGGCGTGGCCAACTCAACATCACTCACTTCCATCAGTCACATGACCCCCGTAGTCACGCCTACCCAGCAGATCATTAGGGCAGAGAACCGGTAGTTAAAAAACATGGGGAACCACAAAACCCTTTTGACATCTCTCCCTCCCTCCCTCCCTCCCTCCCCACATCTCTCTGTGTCTCTCTCTGTCTCTCTCTCCCCCTCTCTCTGTATCTCTCTGTCTCTGCCCCGGCTGCTTCTCCATCCCCCACCGTTGCCTTTACTTTCTCAGGCCAGGCGAGGAGTGACTGGGAGGGGAGGGCAAGGGGCGAGGCCAGCCAGTGGTGGGATCACCCGACAAGGAGCCACAGCAGAGGGCCCAAAGAGCCGCATGTGGCTCCGGAGCTGCAGGTTGCTGACACCTGACCTAGGGAGTGGGGGAGCAGAGGCCCATTTTGATAGGTTTTTTGCTAAATGGGACAAGCCGTCCCCACGTTTTCCCATCAAGGCATGTGGGGTGCCCCTCCAGGCCACCGACTGAACATCACCGCGGAGAACGACTGCCGGCGTTTGCACTGCTCGTTGCGGGACCTCAGCTCCTTACTACAGGCAGTGGGACGGCTAGCAGAGTACTTCACCGGAGACATGTTCGCAGCCAGGTTCAGCGATGCTCTTACCGTGGTGGAGAGGTAAGTCAAACCCACCGGGACATGATTGCCCAAAGCGACGTTTCTCAACCTTTCAGCCACTTTAAAATGGGTGGACTTCAGTTCCCAGAATCTCCCCCCCCCCCTTTATGTGCTGTACCCTGCTGTTGGCTACGGATGCTTCAGCCTTCACCCCAAAGGTCCTTTTTTTTTCAAGAGACAACTGGACTTTCTGGTTTTTCTTTGAAGGGGTTTCGCTTCTCATCCAAGAAGCTTCTTCAGCTCTGAAGAGCTGATGTTATAGCAAGCAGCAAAATTCTGTTCATTCATAAATTGCAACTCACTTCCTTTTTTTTCCTCCCTCCTTCCCTTTAACCTGATTTTCCAGGTTGGTCAAAGTGACTCTGTACGGGTCCCAGATTAAACTCTATAACATTGAAACGGCGGTGCCATCTGTACTAAAACCTGACCTTATTGACGTGTGAGTATGATGTGAAAACCGCAATACTAAAAGGCACTAGAAATGCTCTCCTAAACTCCGGGCCCTTTATCAAACCCCATAAATGTTGTCCTCCTATAACGGATCATCCTTGAGCCTTGCTTCCGGAGATACCAAGAGCCTATTCTGGGATGAGATGGGTTTAACCGTGGTTGAGTCATCTCAACCAGACCACCTCCAGGCATTCTTCTCCAGATGGTATTTCTCAAGATCCAAGATCAAGTCATTCTCCCAGGCTTTGATAGCCTTCAAGGATCCCGGAAGTGTTCTTCCTGTGTCCTCTTCTCCCACATGCCCCCATTTATCATATAAAGAACAGTTGCAGGAACTGGGTATGTCTAGTCCGATGAAAAGAAGGACTAGGGGTGACATGATAGCAGTCTTCCAATATCTTAGGGGCTGCCACAAAGAAGAGGGAGTAAAGTTTTTCTCCAAAGCACCTAAGGGCAGGACAAGAAGCAATGGAGAGAAGCAACTTAGAACTAAGGAGAAATTTCCTGACAGAACAATGAATCAGTGGAACAACTTGCTTCCAGAAGTTGTGAATGCTCCAACACTGGAGGTTTATAAGAAGATGTTGGATAACCATTTGTCTGAAGTGGTGTAGGGTTTCCTGCCTAAGCAGGGGGTTGGACTAGAAGACCTCCAAGGTCCCTTCCAACTCTGTTATTCTATTCTATCAGCAAGCTGTTGGTAGCTTTTGACAGGAAACCACTTCCCTTGCCCCAAATATTGTGGGACGCTTAAGACCCCTGGTTTCTTCAATCCTACCCTCTCTGCTAATTTCCTGCTGTCTTTGCATTGGATGCCCTCCATATTGCTTATTTCATCCCAGCTAAATAAGCTCCTGTATCCTGAGCCCTTTTGCCCTTCGTCCCATTTGCAAAAGGACATAAGAAAAGCTCTTAATGTTATTGTGCTAATGCTGGACATTTTGGGTGCATTAACTCTTACTAACAAGGACCTAATTGCTCCCTTTTCACCTCTGAGAAATAAACGCAATCCGTATAATTTGATATCCATTCATTCACCTAGCCTGACTAGGTGGCTCAGTGGCTAAGACACTCAGCTTGTCAATCAGAAAGGTCAGCAGTTCGGCGGTTCAAATCCCTAGTGCAGGTCTCCTGTGTGAGCAGGGGGTTGGACCAGGGGTGAAATCCAGCAGGTATTGACAGGTTCTAGAGAACCAGTAGCGGAAATTTTGAGCAGTTCGGAGAACCGGTAGCAGAAATTTTCAGTAGTTTGGAGAACCAGCCAATACCATCTCTGGCTGGCCCCAGAGCGGTGTGGGAATGGAGATTTTGCAGTATCCTTCCCCTGGAGTGGGGTGGAAATGGAGATTTTGCAGTATCCTTCCCTTGCCACACCCACCAAGCCACACCCACAGAACCGGTAGTAAAAAAATTTGGATTTCACCACTGGGTCGAACTCGATGCCCTCCAAGGTACCTTCCAATTCTGTTACTGTTAATTAATTAAAATTTATGATGAATGGAGAATTGTACAGGAGAGGCCCAGCTTGAACCCTGTCGTCCTTCCGAGGTCTCAAGACTTTGTCTTATGGCAATGTTTCTCAACCATGCCAACTTTAAAACCAGTGGACTCCAACTCCCAGAATTCCCCAACCAGCATGGCTGTCTGGGGAATTCTAGGAGTTGAAGTCCTACCGGTCTTAAAAGTTGCCACGGTTGAGAAACAACAGCCTTAGGGCACACACCCCTCCCCAACTCTTCTCCTTCCTTTTTAACTTTTAAGGTCTCTTCTCTTTCCAGACATGCACAATCCCTGGCAGCTCTGCAGGCTTATTGCCACTGGCTGGCTCAGTTCTACAACGAGGTTCATCATCAGAACCTGACCCAGTTTGTCTCCTTGATCTCCACTGCTTTGGAAGCGATTGCTCCGTTGATCAGTTCTAAGGTATCACCTGCCCGGCTTTCCATTTTTCTCCTCCTTTGGCCAGGCATTGCTTTTATCTGTTGAGGGATCCCTTCTCTTGCTCCAAAGTGTTGTGGCCCGTCAGCGGCCTGTGCAGATTGTAGCTGACTCTGACAGCGAGGAGGCTGGTGTGTTGTGCCAGCAGCCTGTGCAGCTGGCACTCGAGTCAGACAGTGAGGAGGCTGAAGAAGATGTGGTGCCAGAGGCAGGGATTCAGCCAGGGCCTTCAGAACCTCCAGAAGCTCTTTTAAGTGAAGAGGACGAAGAGGAGGAGCCTCTTCTCGATGCACGGGCGCGCAGAGCTGCCAAACAACAGGTCTCCTCGAGAGTAAGGCTTGGGGCTAATTGGTCACTCCCTTAGCCTATTTAAGGAGGAATGCCGACTGAAGCAATTTGTAGGGAACAACTTTAGTTCACTCTACTTCGCGTCTGGATTCTCTGCAAATTGCTTCTGGGCTTTCTGCCAACCTTAGTAAGATTGTGATTACTTTATCTTTGGTTTCTTGTAGGCTTATTAACAGCCTTTGTTTTGAAAAAGACTGAGTTATTTTAGTAAATTAAGTTTTGTACAAACTTTGTGTATGCTGTGTTCTTTGGGGGCCGTAGCTGGGGCAGAACACAGAGCCCTATGTTCAGCTTTGCTAAACTTCCTTTCTGGTGGGGGGTGGGGAGTGTGACAGGTGAGGGAGTTGATTGACAGGGATCTCTGAAATAAAGTTTCCCACCATCCCAACCCAGAATCAGAGGCAGACCTTGACTTCATTCTTGCTTCTCTCTCTTTGCCCAGTCCTTTGTGTTTTGGAGAATTGGTCCATTTCAACATCTTGAAGATCCTGGAGTTGGGAGGTCAGGTCTGTCTTATAAGGGGGAAGGGGAATCTTAGCTGTTTCTCCTCCCCAAAAAATCTTCACTTCTGGAGATTTTAGATGGCCGCTCCTAAATTCCACAATCAGTAGAACCGTTGGTGATGAAAGAGGAATAGATTAGATTAGAATTTTTTATTGGCCAAGTGTGATTGGACACACAAGGAATTTGTCTTTGGTGCAAATGCTCTCAGTGTACATCAAAAGAAAAGATACATTCGTCAAGAATCATAAGGTACAACACTTAATGATAGTCATAGGGTACAAATAAGCAATCGAATCATACTAGGAAACAATCAATATAAATCTTAAGGATACCAGCAACAAAGTTACAGTCATGCAGTCATAAGTGGGAGGAGATGGGTGATAGGAACAATGAGAAGATTAATAGTAATGCAGACTTAGTGAATAATTTGACAGTGTTGAGGGAATTACTTGTTTAGCAGAGTGATGGCGTTCGGGAAAAAACTGTTCTTGTGTCTATATGATGCTATAGAGCACTGCACATCAGAACAACTAGACACAAGAACAGTTTTTTCCCCGAATACCATCTAAACAAATAATTCCCTCAAATAATTCACTCAACACTGTCAAACTATTTATTAAGTCTGCACTACTATTAATCTACTCATCGTTCCTACCACCCATCTCCGTCCACTTATGACTGTATGACTGTAACTTTGTTGCTTGTATCCTTACGATTTATATTGATATTGATTGTTTCCTGATTGCTTATTTGTACCCTATGACTATCATTAAGTGTTGTACCTTATGATTCTTGATGAATGTATCTTTTCTTTTATGTACACTGAGAGCGTATGCACCAAAGACAAATTCCTTGTGTGTCCAATCACACTTGGCCAATAAAGAATTCTATTCTATTCTATTCTATTCTATTCTATTCTATTCTATTCTATTCTATTCTATTCTACTCTTCTCTACTCTACTCTACTCTACTCTACTCTACTCTACTCTACTCTACTCTACTCTACTCTACTCTACTCTATTTCCATATTCTATTCTATTCCTATTCCTATTCTCTTTTTCCATATTCTATTCTGTTCTCTATTCTATTCTATTCTATTCTATTCTATTCAGCCTGACTAGGTGGCTCAAGTGGCTAAGACACTGAGCTTGTTGATCAGAAAGGTCGGCAGTTCGGCGGTTCAAATCTGTAGTACAGGTCTCCTGTGTGAGCAGGGGGTTGGACTAGATGACCTCCAAGGTCCCTTCCAACTCTGTTACTTCTATTCTATTTTATTCTATTCTATTCTATTCTATTCTATTCTATTCTATAGCCTTTCTTTCTTTTTTTTCCATCGGAAGCTGAGGTCTCTCATTTTGTCTCTCATTTCCCTCTTTCCTCCCATCATTGGTTCAGCCAAATTTATCTAACTTGTTTTATTTCTATTTTAAATTTTGTATTTATATGTTTTATTTCATGGCTGTTCACCGCCCTGAGTCCTTCGGGAGTAGGGCGGTATACAAATTTAATAAAATAAAATAAATAAAATTTAATAAAATAAAATAATAAAACATTCTACTCCCACTCCACCCTCCCTCCCTCCAGGTACAGGAGAAGCTCCTCTTGTCGGCCTGCCATCTACTTGTCTCCTTAGCCACCACGGTGCGGCCCGTGTTTCTCATTAGCATCCCAACCGTGCAGAAAATGTTCAACAGGATTACCGACAGCTCTACTCAACGCCTTTCAGATAAGGTAAGGACGACTTTGGGAAGGACCAAGCTCAGGCATCACGATTAGATGCGCCAGGCATTCCGGTCCATTTCAAACCCGGTGCTTTCGTTCTCGTTCCTTGAAACAAAATCCCAGGAAGAGATTGGACAGCCATTTGTTGGAACCTGTGTAGTCAGAGCTACAGTCTCCTGCTTGAGGAGGGGGTTGGACTAGAAGACCTCCAAGGTCCCTCCCAACGCTGTTATTCTGTATTCTGTATCTTTAACCACTACACAAAACTGGCTCCTTTCCCTTAGACCTGCTAGCCCTACTCAGAACCCAATTCGCTTAACTTCGTGGCTTCCCTATGAACAGTTGTTTTTCTACCATCTGCTTTGCTATTTTCCTCTTTGGAATATCAGAGAATTAACAGTCTCTCAAACATTTCAAAAGTCTGACTTCGTGTTAAGTAGTATTTTTTTCTCTCTCTCTCTCTCCTGAATTTCAGTCATTTTTATTTATTTATTTATTTGATTTATATGCTGCTCTTCTCCTGAGACTCAGGGCGGCTTACAATGCGTTAAGCAATAGCCTTCATACTTTTGTATATTTTATACAAAGTCAGCTTATTGCCCCCACAAACTGGGTCCTCATTTAACCTACCTTAGAAAGGATGGAAGGCTGAGTCAACCTTAAGCCTGGTGAGATTTGAACTTGCAGTAATTGCAGGCAGCTGATGTTAATAACAGTGCTTTAGTCTGCTGCGCTTCCAGGGCTCTTTTTACTAAAGTTTTGCAGCCTTAGGATTCCAACTGTGTCCCAGCATAAAAAAATGGAAAAATAAGAGAGGGACGACTGATGCAATCTCTTGTTATTTTATATTCTGCCATACCATAACCTTCTGACCATGGTCAAGAGAGCAGCTCCTAGTTCAGGGGTGTCAAACTCGATCTCGTTGAGGGCTGCATCAGGGTTGTGTGTGACCTCCGGGGGTGGGCGTGGCCAAGGTGAACGTTGCCAGATCGACGTCGATGTCGGGGTGCCTGTGGCGCCCGAGTGCTCTGTCAGCTAAAATGTGTGCGGCCCTCCCGAGCTCCATTTTCGCTGATAGAGGCACCACAGGCCAGTCCTTCGTTGTTTCCAGGGCAGCCCCGCGGGCTAGATCTAAGCACCCCACAGGCAGTGGTGGGTTGCCCCTGGTTCGGACTGGTTCGCAAGAACCGGTAGTAAAACCGGCGGGAGGCACTGCCCACCGCCCCGGATGTCGTTATCGGCGATCTGCTTATGCGCAGAAGGAAGGCGCTTGTGTAAGCAAAGCAAGCACGTGTGCGATCCCGTTGCAAACTGGTGGTAAAGATAAGTAGAACCCATCCCTGGCCCGTGGGCCTTGAGTTTGACACCCCTGTTCTAGTTGCGCAATCTTTCTTCTTCTCCTTCCTCTCTCTGGCCTTCAGCTTGGTTGATCTTCCTCTCTGCAGGCCCAAATCCTCCTGTGCAGATCACTGTCAAATATCTTGCTCCTACCGTGGCCAAACCTCCCGGAGGCCGAACAGCAGTGGGCCATTCGTTCAACTAACCATGCCAGCCTCATATCGGCCCTCACCAGGGATTACCGCAGCCTGAAATCCAGTGCCATCTTGCCCCAGAGGAAAAATCAGCAGGACAATAGTAAGTCACCCCAGTGCAATGAAATTCACTTAACACCCAAAGACCAGGTCCAACACACATAACAATTCCCAAACACATTCCCACCCACCACAAATTCCTCACCCCTAAACCACCCAAACATCCACACAACAGACCAAGTAATGCTGTCCAACAGCTCGCTGATGGTGGCCCTATAGTTCATTGTTGAATGCAATTATAGCTCTGGTATAAAAACAATTCAGAAAAAACTATTTTGAGACAACCCAGGAGCAAAATACTGGACACAGAGGTTTACCATTCCATGATAGTATGGGAGTGGAGTGGACTGGAGTGGAATTAATTAGAATTAGAATTAGAATTAGAATTAGAATTAGAATTAGAATTAGAATTAGAATTAGAATTAGAATAGAATAGAATAGAATAGAATAGAATAGAATAGAATAGAATAGAATAGAATAGAATAGAATAGAATAGAATAGAATAGAATAGAATAGAATATTGGCTACGTGTAATTGGACACACAAGGAATTTGTCTCCAGTGCATAAGCTCTCAGTGTACATACAGGCAATAAGTAATAAATCATTATCATAATGATCATAAAACACATTTATCATAAATCATAAGATACAACACTTAGTGATAGTCATAGGATAAGCAATCAACATAAATCGTACTAGGACACTAAATAAAACAATTAATATAAATCGTAAGATACAAGCCACAAAGTTGATAAAAAAAGCAAGCTTGAACTACCAATTGGCATGATGCCTTCGCTCAGAAGGAGATTAATTTCCTCCACAAGCTGATGGCAGGGCTAGAAATTGGCAGACATAACGCAAATATACTTTTTGTTTAGCTTAAAAATTCCTTTTTTGATCCTCAAGGAACTTGTTCCAACAGCTCATGTTCCCAAGGTTTCTTTGAAAACTCGAACAGGCTGGGTCCTCCCCCCCCCCCGAAATTTTGAGAAATACTCTCCATTTTCAGATAAAAAGATAATGTTTGGGGATGAGGTATTAAAATAACATAAAGCCTGGGGGTTGGGGGGAGGATTTGAAAGCTTTTAAATTGGATTTTTTTTATCATTTGCAAGTGATGTTTGTACTAATAGCTGTATTAGCCTAAGCTTTGTCAAGGCTTTTTGCTATAAATAAGTAAATGTATTAAATCTGGTTTGAACCGACCGTATTTTTCAGAGTATAAGATGGACCTTTTTCCCAAAAAAAAAGAAAGTGAAAATCTGGGTGTGTCTTATACTCCAAATGTAGCTCTGCCCAGCCTCGCAAACGGAGATTTCAGAGGCTGAAAAAAGCCTCTGAAAGAAGCTTCAGAAAAAAAGCCTCCAAACAGAGCTTCAGAAGAAAAGCCTCTAAAAGATTTTTATCTAAAATAATATGGCAAGCAACAAAAGAAGAATCAGTAAAGGTTCTAACCAAACTATGCTAACAAATCTGGAGAAGGACACAATAGCCAACAGATTGGAAGAGGTTAATTTATATACCAATACCAAAGAAAGAAGCCTCTGAAAGAAACTTCAGAAAAGAAGCCTCCAAACAGAGCTTCAGAGGCTTTTTTCTCTGAAGCTTTGTTTCGGAGGCTTTCAGAGGCAGAAAAAAAAGTTTTTTCTGAAATGGAGTTTCAGAAATTTCAGAGGCAGAAAAAATAGCAAGGCACAGAGCTCACAACCAACGAACCTGTTGCTAAAATTCACCTATGGGAACAGCTGATGGGGGTATTCTGGGAGGCCGATCCATCTGCCAATCAGCTGTTTTCTTATTTTCCTCCCAAAAAACTAAGGTGCGTCTTATACTCTGGTGCGTCTTATATTCCAAAAAATACAGTAATTGTATGCAACCAGTACCGGTGATGTTTAGCGTAGCTATCGTAAGTAATTAGCAGCATATAAAATGTTTTGTTTTGGGCTGTATTCAATGCATGTTAAGTTCCACGTAACATCTTGTACACATGCAAAGCTATGGTCTTGAGCACTTTTAGAAGTATGTTGACTCAGGACAGAGTTGGGGGCCTGTTTTTGAGTTTGGAACTCTTTCGGAATGCTCAAGACTGCCATTTGTGCCCTTAACGGGAGGACATTTTGTAAAAAGCCGTGCTCGCTACAGTCTGAAATGAAGCCCTTTGAAGTGGCTTGCGCTCTTGTGCAAGGATGAAATGTGATTCAATATTAGTAGCTCGGGTTGGTAGTTAGGCTGTTGGTTTGAGCGCCGAGCTTGGCAATTTGGTTTGCAAACGTTTCGTCACCATTCGAGGAGACATCGTCAGTGCGCTTTGAGTTGTGCTCGTTCTGACAGGTGCAGGCGGACGACTAGGCCACACCCACCATGGTCATGTCCACCCAGCAATGGGGCAGCGAACCTGTTGCTAAAGGATCTGAAGCCCACCCCTGAATATAGCTGCTGATACTGCTGTGGGGTGACGGTTGGCATGTTTCCTCTTTTTTAAAAAAAAAAAAAACAATTTTTAATTTTTTCAAACACAAAAACATACAATACATCCTTTCAGAACGAGCCATTGATCCGGTCCTAAGTAGGTACAATTACTAATTTCTCTTTAACAAAAGTTTTTCCCAAATCCCTACTAGTTACCATCTTTTTTTTTTTTTTAAGGAAACAGAAAAAAATGTCTAGCTTATATTAATTTACACAAATCAATTACCTTTCTATTATTACGCCTCAAATCTTAATTTCCAAATAGCACAACTTAATATTCTATACCATTATTGCCATAAATTCTATCTTAATTAAAAATGTCTTGAAACCCATTACCTAAATCTTAAAATCCTTAACCAAATATCATTTCAATTTCTTTTTCTTTTAGCATGGATGGATATATCTTAAAAATATAAATCATCAAGATATTTACACATTATTTTAACTGTTAACATTTATCATCTTCATTTTACTGTTTATCTCAGCATAGTCACAGCATGTTTCCTCTTGCTCTTGCAGCAAAAGTCCTCATCCACCAGACTCTTAGCGTCCTGGAAGACATCGTGGAGAGCGTCTCTGGGGAAGCCACCAAGTCTCGCCAGATCTGCTACCAGTCGCTGCAGGAATCTGTCCAGGTCTCCCTTGCTCTCTTCCCAGCTTTCATTCATCAGTCAGGTATAAACTCAGACCAGCTTTTGCCAGCCGGTTGAACTTCGTATGTCCATCTTAAATTAAATCAGGATCACGTCAGTCTTTTTCCTGGATAGCAGATCATAGATGTGCTCCAAAGAAGAAGGATAAGAGCAGGACAAAAATTCAAACTGGGCGTCATTTCCATTTCAACTTAATGTTGATCTGATTATTCTTCAGTCCTTGTATTTAATCAATTGTGCCCTGCTTCAGTCATGGACCTGCTTTTGAAGGTCTTGAAGGATATCCCACTCCAGGGGAAGATTACTGCAAAATCTCCATTCCCTCCCCACCCCAGGGGAAGGATACTGCAAAATCCCCATTCCCTCCCCACCCCAGGGGAAGGATACTGCAAAATCCCCATTCCCTCCCCACCCCAGGGGAAGGATACTGTAAAATCTCCATTCGCACCCCACTCCAGGGGAAGGATACTGTAAAATCTCCATTCCCACCCCACTCTAGAAGGATACTACAAAATCTCCATTCCCACCCCACTCCAAGAGAAGGATACTGTAAAATCTCCATTCCCACCCCACTCCAGGGGAAGAACACTGTAAAATCCCCATTTTCTCCCTATCAGCTGGGACTCGGGAGGCAGAAAATAGATGGGGGAGGGGCCAGTCAGAGGTGGTATTTGCCGGTTCTCCGAACTGCTCAAAATTTCCGCAACCGGTTCGCCAGAACCTGCTGAAACCCACCTATGATACACACTGGAAAAACTCAGTGGGGAAGGAGAGCAGTTTTCAATCCTCTGATCCTTGTTCCTTCTTGCCCTCCTCCCTTTCCTTTTTTTTCAGACATCACAGACAAAATGCTAAGCTTCTTCCTGACCCTTTTCCAAAGTCTGAGGGTGCAGATGGGGGTGCCTTTCACCGAGCAGGTGATACAAACATTCCTCAACATGTTTACCAGGTAATACCTCCGTGGAAACACCAGACGCTCACATCGGTTGTTATCAGTAGTGAAATCCCCATTTTTTTACTATCGGTTCTGTGGGCGTGGCTTGGTGGGCGTGGCAGGGGAAGAATACTGCAAAATCTCCATTCCCAACCCACTTCAGGGGAAGGATATTGCAAAATCTCCATTCCCACCCCACTCCAGGGCCAGCCAGAGGTGGCATTTGCCAGTTCTCCAAACTACTCAAAATTTCTGCTATTGGTTCTCCAGAACCTGTCAGAACCTGCTGGATTTCACCCCTGGTCTTTAGTAGTTATGCAGGAGAGTTTGCTACTGGAAAAGCAGGTGCCAGTTCATCAGTCAAGGGCTTATTAACTGAACTGGTGTGAAATTTGGGGTAGGGGGGTATTTGGGAATGTGTGTTAGTTATTACTTATTCGGGTTTAGGGATTCTATTGCTTTCATTTATTGAGTTATTTATCGAGATGTATTGTGTGTTTTGGGGGGGGGGGCCTGCACCAAGGGAAGCTCATTCAATTTCATTGTACACATACGTTGTGCATTGACAATAAAGGATTTGATTTGATTGATTTCAGCAGTGATTCCTCCAGATCAAAGGAGTCACTTTGTAAACCAGGTCATCCCATTAATAAGTATTGCCCTGGGAATAGAACTAAAATATCCTAGAGAGCCAATTTGGATTTGTGGCGAAAGTGTTGGCCTAGGAACCAGGTATCTGTGAGTTCTAGTCCCGCCTTAGGCATGAAAGCCAGCTGGGTGATTTTGGGCCAATTACCAGGAGACAGAGAGCTCTAGTCCCACCTTGGGCATGAAAGCCAGCTGGGTGATTGTGGGTCAATGACCAGGAGACTCAGAGTTCTAGTCCCACCCTAGGCATGAAAATCATTTGAGTGAGTTTGGGCCAGTCTGTGTCTCTCAGCGCAACCTACCTGATTCCTTGCTGTGGGGAAAATATGAGGAGAAGGAAGAATTAGACATGTTTACCATCTCGGATTATTTCTAAAAATAATAAAGGTGGGATTAAAAAAGATCAAATATATAAATCATTGACCGGCTCTTGCCATCACTATACTTGGGTTTCCTTGGGTCCAGAATTTACTACAGAATACCCTGCAGAGTTTTGAACCTGGCCCAATCTACGGTCTCAGAGACCTACCCAACTTTGAGTATCTCTTTAAAGTCACCAGCTTCGTGTCCCAAAGGCGCTTTTTTTCAGGAGGCAACCAGACTTCCTTGGGTTTTTTTTGAAGACGTTTCACTTCTCCTCCAAGAAGCTTCTTCAGTTCTGACTGGATGGTAGTGGGGAATGGAAGGCTTAATACTCCTTGCAGACAGCTGGTCATTTGCAACCTTTTAGAGAGTCGTCGAGGCCACTTGCAGGTTTATCTTACCAGCTTTTTGTGTCTTTTGCCACAGGGAGCAGCTGGCCGAGAGCATCCTCCACGATGGGAGCACCGGCTGTCGGGTGGTGGAGAAGTTCCTGAAGATCCTTCAGGTGGTGGTGCAGGAGCCCGGCCAAGTGTTCAAGCCTTTCTTACCAAATATCATTGCACTTTGCATGGAGCAAGTCTATCCAATCGTCGCCGAGGTAGGACGAGCAGCCTCAGTGGGGGAAAACTAGGAGATGTAGTTGGTTTTTACATCAGGGGGAAAGAGGAGTAGCTGCTGAGGACTTGGCTTATCATCCGTCCAAATTGCAGATGCTTGTTGGCAAAGCAATGAAGCAAAGCGAGACAGTCCATTTGTGCAAGGAACTAAGAACGACACGAGGAGTTACTTTGGAGTGATTTCTTTCTTGTTGCTCACCCGTAGGCAGGAATCTTGCCAGACTAAAGCACAAATCTACATAACTATTAGATACACCCAGGGGTGGGCTGCTGGGGGTTCAGGAGAACCTCTAGCTAAGATTCTGCGCAGTTCAGAGAACCCCCAAGTCCCACTCCTGGCTGGTCCCACCCATCCCGCCCCTCCCAGGAGTCCCCACATGGGCCATTTTGGATGTAGGTAAGAGCAGGACACACGCGGAAGCTCGGGGAGGGCAAAAAACGAGCATATCGGAAGTTCAGAAAGACCAGAAACGGGCTTGTTTCCGGCCTCCAGAGGGCCTCTGGAGCCTGGGGAGGCTGTTTTTGCCCTCCTGAAGGCTCAAAGAAAGCCTCTGGAACCCGGGGAGGGCAAAAACACCCTCCCCCCCCCGGCCCGCCATGGTGCAGGAGACCGACTAGGCCACACCCACCATGGCCACGCCCACCCAGCTGGGTACTTTGGGCCAATCACCAGGAGACTGGGAGTTCTAGTCCTGCCTGAGGCATGAAAGCCAGCTGGGTGACTTTAGTTCAATTACCAGGTAGCCTGAGAGTTCTAGTCCCACTTTAGGCATGAAAGCCAGCTGGGTGACTTTGGGCCAATGACTAGGCGACCATAAGTTCTAGTCCCACCCTAGGCATGAAAATCATTTGAGAGAACTTGGGCCAGTCTGTCTCTCTCAGCGCAACCCACCTGATTCCTTGCTGTGGGGAAAATATGAGGAGAAGGAAGTATTAGATATGTTTACCATCTCAAATTACCCTGCAGCGAGCATCCCTCTCTGGCAAACTCTTTGCCTTTCTTCATCTGTCTTGGACCCAAACATCCCCGTCCGAAGAACCTGTTCCAACCCCCGTGTGCTTTTCTTGTCGTCCCCACCCAGCGGTCGTCTCCTGATGTGAAAGCTGAACTCTACGAGCTGCTTTTTCGGATTTTGCACCACAACTGGCGGTACTTCTTCAAGTCCAACGTCCTGGCCAGCGTCCAGAGAGGAGTAGCTGAGGAGCAGATGGAGAACGAAGCCCAGTTCAGTGCCATTATGCAGGTATCATAACATGATGATGATGATGATGATGATGATGATGATGATGATGATGATGATGATGATGATGATGATGTTGTTATCCATTCGGTCACGCCCGACCCTTGGCGATTCTGTGGGCCAGGTCTCTCTCCACATCTTCTGATCTTGCACTGCTTCTTTGAGTTGTTCTATGCCCTGGCTGGTGTCATTCTGTTGAGCCGCAGTGGCGCAGTGGTTAGAGTGCAGTACTGCAGGCTACTTCTGCTGACTGCCAGCTGCCTGCAGTTTGGCAGTACGAATCTCAGCAGGCTCAAGGTTGACTCAGCCTTCCCTCCTTCCGAGGTGGGTAAAATGAAGATTGTTGATAGTTGGGGGCAATAGGCTGATTCTGTAAACCGCTTAGAGAGGGCTACAAAGCACTGTGAAGCGGTATATAAGTCTAAGGGCTATTGCTATTAACTCGGCCTTCCCTCCTTCCGAAGTTGATAAAATGAGGACCCAGATTGTTGTAGGGCAAGAGGCTGACTCTAAACCACTTAGAGAGGGCTGTAAAAGCATTGTGAAGCACTATATAAGTCTAAGTGCTATTGCTGTTGCCCTTCCTTCCTTCCTTCCTTCCTTCCTTCCTTCCTTCCTTCCTTCCTTCCTTCCTTCCTTCCTTCCTTCCTTCCTTCCTTCCTTCCTTCCTTCCTTCCTTCCTTTCATGGTGGCATAGTGGTTAGAACACAATATTGCAGGCTAAATCTGCCGACTGCCAGCAGTTCGATTCTCACCAGCTAAAGATTGACTCAGCCTCCCATCCATCCGAGGTGGGTAAAATGAAGACCCAGATTGTTGGGGACAATAGGCTGACTCCGTAAACCGTTTAAAGAGGGCTGTAAAAGCACTGTGAAGCAGTATATAAGTCTAAGTGCTATTGCTATTGCTATAACGGAAGGATGTTTTGCTCTTGGTTCTTTTGACAAATCAGATTTTCTTCTGTTTCTCGCCTTTCTAGCTCCCCTGCAACTTTGGGGCACGGTTGGCAGCTACTGATGGCCTTTCTAGAATCTGTAGATTTGTGTGGGTCACAAGAGAATAGAGCAGGGGGCTCCAAACTTGGCAACTTTAAGACTTGTGGACTTCAACTCCCAGGATTCGCCAACCAGCCATATATGGTTTGGAGACCCCCACCCCCGGTATAGAGGATGGAGTAAGACCAGCCAGAAAAAACCCTGGTTTAGGATAACCTCTTGAAAATGGTACTGTGGTTTACTCCAGAACAAACCTTGGCAACCTTAAGATATGTGGACTTCAACTCCCAGAATTCCCTCGCTCCAGAGGTTGAATGCACGCTGTTCTCAAGACAGGCTGAAGGATTCCTTTAGTGCAAGTCCACATTCTGTGCTGCCACAAGCTTCCAGTTTTAGTTACCCCGGGGGTATCTCTCTGTGCCATCAGTTCTTCCCACTGGGCCTCAGCCACACTCTTCTGAGTAGGGGTGGGCTTCAAAAATTTTAGCAAGGGGTTCTCTGTCCGGTTGCTTGGGGGGCGTTTTTGCCCTCCCCGGGCTCCTGAGGCTTCTCTTAAGCCTCCGGGAGGGTGAAAATGGCCTCTGCAGCCTCTGGAGGCCGGAAACAGGCCTGTTTCTGGCCTTCTCGAACTTCCGGTAGGCCCGTTTTTCACCCTACCCAAGCTTCCGCGCGCACCTTGCACTTACCTGTATCCAAAACGGGCCGCGTGGGGACTCCTGGGAGGGGAGGGGCGGGGCAGGGTGGGTGGGTGGGGCCAGCCAGGAGTTTGGATTTGGGGGTTCTCAGACTGCACAGGATCTTAGCTAGAGGTTCTCCCAAACCCCTGCGAACCTCCAGCAGCCTGCTATTGAGTCTTCTCTCTTCCCTAGGCGTTCGGCCAGTCCTTCCTGCAACCTGACATACACCTGTTCAAGCAGAACCTGTTCTATCTGGAGACTCTCAACACCAAGCAAAAACTGTACCACAAGGTGAGCGGCGATTTATTCTGAAAGCCAGAGGAAGTCGATAAGACTGCAGACGACAGAAAAGATTCTTCCCCACAACTTCCTGCATAGGAAGGACTGTTGGCTTGGCAAGAGCCTGACACACCTGCCATTTCTGAAAAAACTCCCCACCAAAAGGCAAATATGTCTGCAGTGAAATGGTTGTTCCAAAGTTGCCTCTTTTTTTTCAGGAGGCAACTGGACTTTCTGGTTTTTCTTTGAAGACGTTTCGCTTCTCATCCAAGAAGCTTCTTCAGCCACCATCCAGTCAGAGCTGAAGAAGCTTCGTAGAATGGAATGGAATGGAATGGAATGGAATGGAATGGAATGGAATGGAATGGAATGGAATAGAATAGAATAGAATAGAATAGAATAGAATAGAATAGAATAGAATAGAATAGAATAGAATAGAATAGAATAGAATAGAATAGAATAGAATAGAATAGAATAGAATAGAATAATAAATAATAAATAATGGAAATAAATAACAGAAATAACAAATAGAATAGTTTATTGTCACTTTGAATGTACACTAATTGGCAGACATTAAAAATGAAATGTCATTGCGTACAGCTCTTAACAGAGGGACGCGGTAGTTCAGTGGCTAAGACGCTGAGCTTGTCGATCGAAAGGTCGGCAGTTCAGCGGTTCAAATCCCTAGCGCCGCGTAACAGGGTGAGCTCCCGTTACTTGTCCCAGCTTCTGCCAACCTAGCAGTTCGATAGCGCGTAAAAAATGCAAGTAGAAAAAATAGGGACCACCTTTGGTGGGAAGGTAACAGCATTCCATGCGCCTTTGGCGTTAAGTCATGCCGGCCACATGACCACGGAGACGTCTTTGGACAGCGCTGGCTCTTCGGCTTTGAAACGGAGATGAGCACCATCCCCTAGAGTCGGGAACGACTAGCACATATGTACGAGGGGAACCTTTACCTTTACAGCTCTTAAAGGGTCACCACCTCCAGTTTTACATTACATAAACATGACAAGATACATACATACATACATACATACATACATACATACATACATACATAATTATGTATATACCAACCTATATTATATGACACAGAGAAACAACACAGTCTAGTTATACATGTTTATGGCGAGAAAAACTAAACTTACGAGTTTACCAGACGGATGGCCTAGGGAACAAAGCTGTTACAGAATCTGGTAGTCCAGCTGGAAATACTTCGAAACCTCCTCCCAGAGGCGAAACGTCTTCCAAGAAAAAAACCCCAGAAAGTCCAGTTACCTCTTGAAAAAATGCACCTTTGGGACAACCATGTCCTGGATGACTGAGAATGTCTTCCAGACCTGTAATGAAATGGTAGATTTTTGGGGGGTGGGTGGGAGGACCCCCATTTTCACCCCGTTTTGTCAAGGTTCCAAGTAACCCCACAACGAAAGAAAACTCCGAGTCTTGAGGTTCCTCAAAGTTCCATTTTATGAGAGATGTCATATTGGCACATCTGGGAAAACCCGAATCTGAAAGCTTCCAGGTTTTCCCCACCCAAAGGAAAGTCCAAGTCCCTTCCCAACACCCACATGTCCATCCCATGGTCCAATCAAAGCACCATCCCAACTGGAGATGCCTCCCAGTCATACCCCTCCAGGTGCAGGGCAAGATGTCCTTGACTCTCTGAGAAAGGAATGTTATTATGGCTACATATCACTTACGCTCCATACAATCCCACAGTAGTAAACGTGGCAGGCCTGAAGGCCCAACGCAAAAGATGGCTTCCGGGCCTGACACATTTTTTTGTTTCCCGTTTGCTGCAGAAGCTCTTCCGGGCGTCGATGCTCTTTCAGTTTGTGAATGTGCTGCTTCAGGTCCTGGTCCACAAATCCCACGACCTCCTGCAAGAGGAAATCGGCATCGCCATCTACAACATGGCCTCCGTGGACTTCGACAGCTTCTACTCGGCTTTCCTCCCGGGGTTTTTATCCGGCTGCGACAGGGTGGACACCAACCAGAAAAACGTCCTCGGGAGGAACTTCAAAATGGACAGGGTGAATTTGGGCTGAAGCTGGGTTGGGGCTGGTCCTGCACAAGGCCGATGGTCTCTTTTATCCCCGGTGGCCAGTACAGTTAGTCCTCGACTTACGACCATTACTTTAGTAACCATTCGAAGTTAGACAATGGCATTGGAAAAAATGACTTAGGACCGTTTTTCACACTTACGACCGTGGCAGCATCCCCATGGTCACATGATCAGAATTCAGACACTTGGCTCATATTTATGACAGCTGCGGTGTCCCGAGGTCATGTGATCCCTTTTGCAACCTTCTGGCCAGCAAAGTCAATGGGGAAGCCAGATTCACTTAACAACCATGTGACTAAGAACTGCAGTGATTCACTTAACAACCATGTGACTAATTGAAAAAGGGCAGTGATTCACTTAACAACCATGTGACTAAGACTGCAGTGATTCACTTAACAACCATGTGACTAATTGAAGAACTGCAGTGATTCACTTAACAACCATGTGACTAATTGAAGGACTGGCAGTGATTCACTTAACAACCATGTGACTAATTGAACTGCAGTGATTCACTTAACAACCATGTGACTAATTGAAGGACTGCAGTGATTCACTTAACAGCTGTGTAAGAAAGGTCATACAATGGGACAAAACTCACTTTAACAACTGTCTCGTTTAGCAACAGAAATTTTGGGCTCAGTTGTGGTCGTACGTCGAGGACTGCCTGTAGAATTTCCTTGGGAGGGCCATCGCATTTTAACCCCGTCCGTGGCATTCCAGCTTTCCTATTCCATAAGCCATCCTTTACTTCCACCCATTCCTCTTGTTGGGAGGCATTCTGGGAAGCTGGAAAACTGTGGCTTGTTTTCCGAGAATCGTAAAAAAATTAGAAATCGTTCCCCAGAACCATGGACTTTGAATTGTTTGCTTGCGTATTTCTACATTGGCTCGGTGACTTTTCATCAAATGATGCAAAAAACCAAGAAAATTGATTGAGAAATCTCATTTGCTTTTCCGTGGAGGCTGGTAAAGTCAAAATGTCCTCAGTTTTTAAAAAAGCCAACCCTTTATGAGGTTTTGCAGGTAATCATTGTTTGTTTAGTGACTGTTCGAAATTACAGTCGCCCTGAAAAAAATTAGCTATGACCGTTTTTCATAAGGCCACGTTCGTTCACACTTACGACGCTTGAAGCATTCCCATGATCACATGACCAAAATTCAGGCGCTTGGCAGCCAATTCATATTTATGACGGTTGCAGTGTCCCAGGGTCACGTGATCCCCTTTTGCGGCCAGGTTCACTTAACAACCCTGTTATTACCTTAACAACTGCAGTGATCCGCTTAACAACTGTGGCAAGGAAGGTCGTAAAATTGGGCAAAAAATTCACTTGAACAAACTTTTCGCTTAGTGGCAGAAATTTTCAGCTCAGTTGTGTTTGTAAATCAAGGATTACAGCTGTATTTGGTAAATGTAGCCTTCCCCAAATGCACTTACATTCCGATAAGATCCTATTGAAAACTGAGCATTTTTTATCATACTCTGCCCTCTTTCCCACCAAAGCCTTCACACAGATCAAACTCATCCATAAACTAAGTGTCAGGATTCGATGGGTGCCCTAATTAAATCACAAGCCTCGAGCCAAGCTTCAAAAGAAATCCAGTTATTTATTAGGAGCTTCATGTCGGCAGGTTCCCAAGTGAAGCCAGCTCTGTCCCACGTAATTTACGCTCCAATCATGACCCTGTTTCCCCCCCCCAGGGCGTGTCATCAATCACATTCGGCAATTTCGTAGATTGTAGAGATCACTCCCCTCCGGCCGCTGTGGGTAACCCTGGGATACAGCCTTGAGAGAGAGAAGTCCGGAATGTGCATCTGTCTTTGGCTGCCGTGCTGTTTCCTCGGTTTCCCAACCCCTTGCCTATGGCAACTCGAGAGCAGGCCAGGAATGCTTTGCGAGTTGACACTAAGTTTACAAAGCCCTGGGGCTGGATCCCTCCTATCATGCTGAGCCAGAACCAAGAAGCCCATGCGATGAGGCAGTGTGATGTGTGAAATCCATTATGTAGGGATTTGTTTATAGGATCTGCTATTTTACTGGTCCCAAAGTTTCACAGGGTAGAGTCTGGACCCCCCGGGACTTAAATACAAGAAAATATTCGGAGAATAAAAGCTTAATAAAACCGAGCCATAAAAATGATGGAAAAAATCAATAAAAGGAGAATATTTGTAGCTCAACTGGACTTTCTTTTTTTTTTTTCTTTGAAGACGTTTTGCTTCTCATCCAAGAAGCTTCTTCAGCTCAAAGAAAAACCAGAAAGTCCAGTTGCCTCTTGAAAAAGCATCTTTGGGACAACCATGACCTGGATGACGGAGGATTTCCATAGACTCTGAGTTTAGTTGTTTTCTTGCAGACATGTTTTATTTCCCAGCTAGGTGACATCAGTGCTAATAACCCCATTCCCTTCTAGCACTGATGAAGTTACCTACTTGGGTAATGAAACGTCTGCAAGAAATCAACCAAGCTCAGAGAGTACCAAGGTCTCCACAGTCTCTCCTCCTCCTCTTTCTTCTCCTCTTCCTTCTCCTCCTCCTCTAAACCACACTCCCTTCTAGCACTGATGATGTTATATAGTTGGTTAATGAAACGTCTGCAACAAAACAACCAAGCTCAGAGAGCACCAGGGAAATGCTCCTATTCTAAGCAGCCTTTTCGAGCCTCCAGCTGACCAGAGCTTAATCAGCAAAGGTCCTCCTCTGGCTCTAACCCGCTTCCTTCTGCCGTTTTCTTCCCCCTTCCCAGGATCTGCCGTCGTTCACCCAGAATGTGCACAGGCTGGTCAACGACCTGCGCTACTACAGACTCTGCAACGACAGTTTGCCCCCAGGGACCGTGAAGTTGTAGCCGCCGGTGACGACAACGACGACGGACTCGGCGTTTCCCATCTCCCGTTAAGGAGTGGACCTGGCGTGGCCGCTGCCCTCTGTTCCTCCGATCTCGACAAGCCCTTCCGGGTGGGTGTGGAGCGTTCCCCCCCACCCACGTGCAAGTCAGGGCACGGAAGGCCAAGGCCGTGCCCCTTCCTCCGTTTTCCTCCCATCTCGACCTCAACGGCTGAGTCGGCAGCTCTATCCTCCCGCAAGGGGACTCGGAAACCCGGAGACTGGCCGTGTTCCCCCCCCCCCCCCCCCCCCCCCGGCTGGGTGTTTTGTGTCTTAAATACCGTGGCGTTGATTCAAGTCTACAGGTCTCGGTGACTCGTCTTGTGTAACAAACATGAGGCAGAAACACCACAAAGTCTATACTTGAGGGGGGTCTTCCCACTTTCATGCCATTCCACCTGCTGCCCTGCCCTTCTCCCCCCCGTCGCTGAAAGGACGGTCCCTCCCCGATAACATCCTCCCCCCCCCACCCCCGGTTCTGTTTTTACAATGCCTTGAACCCTCCCTGCCCTTGGTGGAAATTCACAGAGGAAAAGAGAGAGAGAGAAAGAGAGAGACCAACAGACTGACCTCTGTTTCTTTTGTTATGATTTTTTTAAAACCGTGGTTTTTGTTTTTATTTTCCTCGTCATTCCATTGTGATAACTAAACTGTGCTTAATGGAAATAAAGAAATGCTTACTTTGTTGTTTTAAACAGACGGGAAAGCAGCTGTTGTGATCCAGGCCCAAATAGGTGTTATCAGACGCAATCAGTTCGAAACAAACAGACTTTGTTAGAACAGCTGAGAATTAACTCATTCTCAAGCGTAGTCCAAACTAATTCAAAACAAATTCTTCATAACACAATTCTTCACCAACATTGGTCCACCTTGGCAACCTGCCAAAGGCTCCTCTTGGCAAAAGTTCAGAAGCAGAAGACGCCGACAAGAAATAAATGCAGCAAGATAAGAAACAAATCTATCAACGTTGTTTTCCGGCAAAGAGCCCAAGAGCCATTGCTGGTCTTTTAAGCCTTATGGGAGTGGCCAATCATCTCTTGGCCTTACTCCCAAGTCATCCTTTTTGCTTGAGCTGCTCTTGCCTTCGGGCAGCTCTTTTCATGCGTGCACTAGGAACAGGCTCCTCCTGTTCCTCTGCCTCTCTGCTGTCAGCCTCTGGAGGCTCCGGAGTCCGCGCATTGCTCCCCGATGGCTCTGGTCCCATCTCTGCCTCTGACGCAGAGCCTTCATCTGGGCCTTCCCCTGACTCCAGGACTGTCCCATGTTCCTCCCCAGCCTCCTCACTGCCCGATTCCGCTGCCAGCTCCGCAGGCTGCAGGCGGACCACAACAGCAGCCTCACTTTCATAGAAGGATCTCAGGTCCCAGGACATCTAGATGCTATCACTGGAGGGTCCCCATCAGGGGTGAAATGCTACCGGTTTGGGCCGGTTTGCTCAAACCGGTAGTAAAACAAAAGTTCCCACGATCAGTTGAGTGACGCGCGATAGTTGGAACTTTTTTTTTTTTTACTTTTTAAACATTTTTTACTACTGGTTCTGGAGAAATGCTTTAAAAATGCTTTTAAAACTAAAAAAAAAAAAAAAGTTCTGACAATTGCACATCGCTCAGCTGATTGTCGGAACTTTTTTAACTTTTTAAGCATTTTTTTACTACCGGTTCAGGCGAGCAACTTGTTTGGTTAAAACAAGTGACAAGAGAGGTCATAAAATGAGGCAAAACTCACTTAACAAACATCTCACTTAGCAATAGAAATGTTGGGCTCAATTGCGGTCATACGTCAAGGACTATCTGTATCCTGCATTATTTTATACTGATTTTAAAAAAAAAAAAAAAAAGACATGCTTTTCTTTGTGATAGCCCAATAACAGAAAACTCTGTTTCTCCTCACTCAGGGGTCAGCAACCTGCGGCTCTGGAGCCACATGTGGCTCTGGAGCCACATGTGGCTCTTTCACCCCTCAGCTGCAGCTCCCTGTCACTCAAAATATGTGTCACAACCACCAATGTGCAATACCCGCCGGCACACAATTTATTGAGCTTTTCAACCCCTGGTAGGCCAAGAAAAGAAAAGTTTCAGAAGAAAACAGAACATTTAATTCAACTACATAGGCTAGTTTTGTGGCTGCTCAAGAAATAGTCAGTCAAGGGAAGGGTTTTGTGGCTCCCGGTGTTTTCTTTTCTGTGGGAAATGGGTCCAAATGGCTCTTTGAGTGTTTAAGGTTGCAGACCCCTGTCCTAATTGAAACGGATGCTGAGTGACATGCTTAAAGCCATTTAATGAAAAGATGGATAAACTAAACCACAGATATCTCAGCTTTGATCCCAGAATCCCTCTGCCGTATTAATTCGGGCCATGGATTAGTGCTGGGCTTTCAATGCTGCTGGGTTTATTTTTAATTCTGTAGCTCCGGATTTTTCTCGCCGGTGATTTCTGTTTCCAAATAGGACGCGCTGGGCAGACCAGACCTTTGGAATCCTTTGGGTTCATATTTTTTTCTCCGTGCCTTTATTCTTCGACTTGTAGGTGCTGAAACGTGCAATCTCAGTCCATGGTTGTAGGTGGATTTTGACCCCAAAGCCGGCCTTGGTGTCCCTGGCCTGAGGATGGGATCAGCAGCTTGCGAAAAGGCTGGTTAGTTGCAAGTTGAATGTTTACCCCGTGCGTATTTTTTTATCGGGATCGATCAACCAAGGACACCAATATATTTGGACAGTGTGTGGAGCCAGGTGAAAACCAGTTGTGTTTTTGATATTTGGAAGTTTAATTTGTTGTTAAGTCGGGAAGTCGTGTCCAACCCATCACGACCCCATGGACAACGTTCCTCCGGGCCTTCCTGTCCTCTACCATCCTCTGGAGTCCATTTAAGCTCACACCGACTGCTTTAGTGACTCCATCCAGCCACCTCGTTCTCCGCCGTCCATTCTTCTTTTGCCCTCCATCGTTCCTAGCATTAGGCTCTTCTCCAGGGAGTCCTTCCTCCTCATTAGGGGACCAAAGCATTTGAGTTTCCTTTTCAGGATCTCGCCTTCTAAAGAGCAGTCAGGGTTGATCTCCTATAGGACTGATCGGTTGGATCACCTTGCAGTCCAAGGGACTTGCAGGAGTCTCCTTCAGCACCAGAGTTCAAAGGCCTCCATTCTTTGGTGCTCGGCCTTCCTTACGGTCCAACTTTCACAGCCATCCATTGCAACTGGAAAAACGATTGCCTTGACTATACACACTTTCGTTGGCAGGGTGATGTCTCTGCTTTTTAGTACCGTGTTTCCCCGAATATAAGACCCTGTCTTATATTTTTTTGAACCCTGAAATAAGTGCTTGGCCTTATTGCCATGAACTCAAAAGCCCAATTGGGCTTATTATCAAGGGATGTCTTATTTTGGGGGAAACGGTATGCTGTCTATTTGGGGGTTAGACACTCCTAAAACACCAATATTGAGAAAAACCTAATGTTGTCGTCCTAGCTTGAGATGGTTACGGACCGAGAAAGTGGAGCAGGGAGAACAGTAGGCAGTGAGAGCGAGTTGCTTCAACATTTAGTCCTTGTCATACGACCATAATGAAGCCTGCCCATTGTGATTGTACATTGTGACGGTGGTAAAGCGGGTCGGTGATGTGAGCGATCCGATTTTGTGATGTTTTTTGTGGTCGTTGTTAAGCACCCTCAGCGGTCGTTAAAAATCATAATTGTTAAGCAAACCAGCAATTCCCAACGGGTGAAGTTTTGCCAGAAAAGGGAAGGGAGGGCCAGTTTTCTGCCAAAACATCCTAAAAAGCGGTCATGTGACCACCACGTCCAAGACACTGCAAATGGTTGCTGAGCGCCCCAGGTTTTGTTGGCTTGACGGTGTACCTTTTTTTTCAGGTGGGCTGCAACTTGAATGGTCGCTAAGGGATTGGTCGTAACTCGAGAACTACATTGTACGTCAACAGTAAGGGATCAGGGACTGGCTTTCATTGAAAGTTGGGGTGATATTTGGGGAAAACGAGCGGAAACAACCGAACTGGGGAGTTTTAAAAAGCCAGAAATTGAGACTGTGGTCTTCCTTGTAGATAGAGCCCATCTGTGTTGGGTGAGAGCAAATATTTGTTCAGTTTACTGGTAAAAGCCTCCAGCACTTCTGGTTTTAATGATTCAGTATAAGGTTGTTTTGTGCCCCATCCCTCACTGCGTTGGTTTAGCTGTGATCCATTCTAAACCTGAGCTTAAAGGAAAGGGGAGAGGGAGGGAGGGAGAGAAGGAAAGGAAGGAAAGGAAGGAAGGAAGGAAGGAAGGAAGGAAGGAAGGAATTAACCATATGTATTCAAGGAATCTATGGAAAGGGGAAGGAAGGAAGTAATTAACCATATGTATTCAAAGAAACTGGAAAGGAAAGGGGAAGGAAGGAATTAACTATTCAAAGAATCAATGGAAAGGAAAGGAGAAGGAAGATAAGGAAGGAAAAGGAAGGAAGGAAGGAAGGAATTAAGAAATTAACCATATGTATTCAAGGAATCTATGGAAAGGGGAAGGAAGGAAGTAATTAACCATATGTATTCAAAGAAACTGGAAAGGAAAGGAAGGAAGGAAGGAAGCAATTAACCATATGTATTCAAAGAATCTAGGAAAGGGGAAGGAAGGAAGTAATTAACCATATGTATTCAAAGAAACGAAAGGAAAGGGGAAGGAAGGAATTAACTATGTATTCAAAGAATCTATGGAAAGAAAAGGAGAAGGAAGATAAGGAAGGAGAAGGAAGGAAGGAAGGGATTAACCATATGTATTTAAAGAAGCTATGAAAAGGGGAGGGGAGTGGGAGGGAAAGAAGGAAGGAAGAAAGGAAAGAAAAAGGAAAGGAAGAAAGAAGGGAAAGATGAAAGAAAAAAGGAAGGAAGGAAAAGGAAAGAAATATAAAGGAAGAAGGAAGTCTGGGGAAGTGGCAATTTTGGAGAAAGCAGAGAAAATCAGACTGGAATTCTGTATGAGAATTGAAGAGCGCATCAGACATCAACGCCCGGAGGGAGGCAAAAGTTTCTGCCCTTGATGGCAATGCTAATATTTTCTCTGGGTCATCGTGCTAAGAGCAACGAACTCCCAACACTGAAGCTCTGGGTCGCAGCCAGATGGGGAGCCGGGTTCAGTGGGCAGGTTTGGAGAAAGTGAAATGCCCTGGGGGGGAAAAAACCCAACAACTTGTGGTTCAAGGTCTGACTGGCATCTAAATTTTGGACTGGTGGATTGTTCCTCTTGTAGATCTTGTGGGTTGGCCTAGACAAGATTTTATTCGTTAAATTATCTGATTTCTGTGTAGCTGCCCGTCTCAACAAGGGACTCCAATTGCATTGGGCTCACTTCTCCTTCCAACAGACTTAGAAAAAACAGTTTGTAAGTGAAATTAAGTGTCACTCCCGATGGCTGATTCCCACAGAGCCCCAACATAAGATAAAGACAGTCTTTTTCTCCTTGATCATTCACTGCTTGCTTTGGTGCTTAAACCACTCATTTTTATCCCTCGTATTCTGTATGGAGGATTAAAGGTATCAAGTGTGCACTTTATTCTAGAAAGGTAAGATAAAGATGATTTGATTTAATGCAGGAAATTTCCTCCAGTGAATGGCTGGTAAAACCCTTATGAGAGAGTCTAAGGTACCAGCCTAGAAACCAGGAAAGTCTCAGTTCTAGTCTTTTCTTGGGCATGAAAGTTGGCTGGGTAACT